GCACTTCGTTACGTTCAACTGTTTATAGATTACAGTAGGTTCATAGGTTACAGGTGTGTTGAACTCCACTTCGTTGCACTTCGTTACGTTCAACTGTTTATAGATTAGAGTAGGTTTATAGGTTACAGGTGTGCTGAACTCCACTTCGTTTCACTTCGTTACGTTCAACTGTTTATAGATTACAGTAGGTTCATAGGTTCCAGGTGTGTTGAACTTCACTTCGTTGCACTTCGTTACGTTCAACTGTTTTTAGATTACAGTAGGTTTATAGGTTACAGGTGTGTTGAACTTCACTTTGTTGCGTTCAACTGTTTATAAATTACCAGTTTTCAATGGGAAATTAGTAACGACTTTCAAAATTTTTCATTCGTTTTATAAAATTTAATTTTTTTAAAGCATTCATTAGTAAAGTACATTAAAAATCACTCGTAAAGATTTTGTGTTTATCCGAACCATTCCTACTACATAACGTGTGGATTCTTAACATAAAGATGCAAATCAAATCTATATGTAACGTATTTATAACGGATTTTCAAATTTAAATTCAATGAATATCATTTATATGTTATGCAAAAATACGTCAAACCGTTAATAAAAAGAAAAGTCAATTTAATTAAGTTGGTGAAGTGTTATAAATAATGCAATACATTTAAAACAGCATAAATTTATGCTCAAACTATGTGTGCTAAATGCACATCGCATATTAATAGTTATTTTGCATTAATTCGTAACGGACTTGTGCTTAACGGTTTTTTTGAAAATTCAAATTTTCACTTACGAATATTCATGAAAAAATTACATGTCAATTTTTTTGTCTTACCAGAATATCTTTAGCTGCTCAAATTTATGGTATAATTAATAATTAGTAATATTAATTAAACTATAATGAATCATATAAATGACTTTAGAGCATCACAAGTATAATATTTAATACAAATCAAAATTTTATATCATTGACATTGGATTTTTTCCCATATAAAAAAGTTTTACATAAATTGTACTATAATTAAGCATTTTTGTGTTTCCAAAGTGTTAAAATATTGTATTGTCACCGGGAATACATGTGCATTAAAAATTTGAGCTCGATTGGAGAAGTAGAAGTGGTCGAAAAATTGATCGCAAGATTTGAAATTTTTTGCAAACAAACAAACAAACAAACAAACAAACAAGAAAGCAAGTTAAGAAAAACGTAGTAAAAATAGAAATTATGCAAATGACCTTTTGAAATAACAGTAAGGAACAATATGTTTCTAGCAGAAGATGGGAAAAGTTTTCATTCTTAAGCATTAAAAAACACAAAGAACTGAAAAGAATCAAGTTTGGAAAAGTTTTTACTTTTTTTTTTTGTTGGTTCAATTTGCTTTTTTTCAGTGATACTTTCAGGAACAAAAGAGAAAGATGTTTAGGATTGGTTTGTGTACTTGAAGGATTAAGTTTAAAAAGATTGAGGATGTCGCTGTTCAAAATTGAATTCGACAAACTTATGAAAAACTAGCAACTCAACATTAAGAAAAGAAAAAAGATTTTTAATAAATTTTATTACTTTTGGATACTTACAAGAATAGAAGATGTAAGGAACAAATAGGATACTCTGTCGATTGTCAATCTTTTTGAATCGATTGTCAATTTAAAAAAAAATGAAAAATTCCTTGTCCAAGAATTCAGCGATCAAAATTTTTCAAATTTAAGAGGCAATATTTCAATAATGAAAAACAAGCGCATTCACAAAATATTTCACAGATGAGCATCATCGAAATATCAGCATCAGCAAAAGTTACATGGCAGCAGATATGAGTGAGTAAAAAATCATAAAATATTCATGACGAAAGGTTTGTGCAAACACATCGATGCAAAGAAATGAGAGATAATAAATATTTTCTGCTCTTTCTCCTCCTTTTTTTCTGCTTACATCTATGAAATATGATTATTTGCATACGTTAAAGCATCATACATTTTTCATGTGCGAAATTCATGATTCAAAAAAAAAATTGAAAAAGAGCAGACGAAATGTATGAATGTAGCGAAACGATGGAATGTAATATTTTTCTTATTGCCTCTCTTTTTCCGAAATCCCACAAGATTCTTTTTTTCTTTCCTGGAGATATTTCCATAATTTTTCTTACTTTCTTACTCACTCACTCAGGTCGTATCGAATTTTTATGGTTGTAGACTTTAAAGTTTATTATTCACTTTGGGCAATTGGAAAGTGAATTTGTTGAAAAATTCAAATTTATGATGGCGCAGTTTTATGATTATAATGAAGAAGATTGAAGGATGATTGAACTTTGATGAATATTTGGTATGAGGTCGTCTAGTTATGAGTTTAAGCATTTATGGAAGAACAATGGAAGTCAGTTGTGGATTGGTACTAGCTTTTAATTATTGACTTTTACCAGATACGTTAGGTTGCGATCTTCTTGATCTACGTTTGCATCGTTAAAATACTGAATAGTGCAGTAAGGAAATCAAGTTTACCTAGCCTGTTTATTCATCGCCACCTTTTTCTGTCACTAAAGCATTAAACTCTCAAGAATTCACAAGAACTGACCAATTAAGCTAATCCAAAAATGCGCTACAAAACCTACATCAACCTGTAACAATTCAACCAATTCCTTCAATGCAGAGCAATAAAAATTCAAATTGAAGCTTTTAGGCGGGTTGGCCCATGTATGTACACATGAAAAAATGTGAAATTTTCATCTCAATATAAATCGAAAAAAAAGTGGGAGAGAGATGGAAATGAAAGGAAAGGAAAGAATCAACAAACATATTCAAGTCATGAATGTACATGTGTTACAGAACGACGAGCAGATGAGATATTGATATTTAAAAAAAACACATTCATTTATTGAACATCACGTACAATATATACTCACACATAACAGATCACACAGCCATGCAAGAACATGCTCAGATTATATTGTATCTAGTTTTTTCGCCCTTTATTCTCTTTCTCACTTCCTCAGATCGCTTACTTACTCGATTTGATATTATATCAAACTAAATATGGTCAGTTGTGCTGTGAGAACGTGAACGAAATGTAGCGTGAAAAAGGGTTTTGGATTACATCGTGTGCCTTTTTCTTTTTTCTCAACAATTGAATCTTAATGCTCGCTAAGAGAATTTCGGATGAAAAAGTATAAGAATTGGATAGACATTTTAAAATGATAAGAAAAGTAGGAGGATGAACATGTTTTTTGGGAAGAGTTTTGAGAAAATTTGATGGTTTATGATAGACCTTATGTAAGGGTTAGAACCTTAACATTAAACAGTTTCGACAAGATTGATTTTCCCATGACATCAACGATCGATGCTTTATTTAATACTTTGATACTTTGAACAAAAATACTAAAGTAACGCAAATCAGTTGAGTATCTATCCCTGAATAGCATGAAACTGGGATCGCACCAAATTTCTTCCTTTCTAGACCGAACAAACCATAAAGTTAAAATCCAAGACTTCACTTATGTCCAGAAACACAGATATTAATGTCATACAAACTTACAGTTCAACAGTTTCTTAACTCAGACTTCCATTCATCTGATGATCCTCTGTTAAATGATGAACAACACTTCAAATTCCCAATTAATTATGACAAGTTACTTTAACTTTGCTGCACACTCGAAAACTTTCTACAGAATTCATTATTATAGAACTTCAGTTTGATTGCATTTTAGTCTGCAATATTAATACAATCATCTTCAAAATACTTGCTCTATAAAGAAGACCAAATTACAATTTTAAATGCAACAATCCAATTTATTTTACTTTTCCCATATCGTCTAATATTATGGAAGAACTTGCAGCAAGACTGTAGATTGTTTCCAATTACACGAAAAGAAAACCTGGAAATAAACTTTCCACTCTATTGCTAATATCAAATTTTCAGAATTCATTCTTAAAAAATAAAAATTTTTGTAGATCGAAAAACAGCAGTAGCAAGAAGATACAGCAGAAGCCATGAGTGCAACGAACAGAAATAAAATAAAAAGACGTGACGATAAAAAGCGATTTTATAAATATGTTTCATTCATGTATTTTTTTACATCCACCATATGTTCTACAGATAGACTCAATCACTTCTATCAAGTACTTTACAATGTATGTATTGAATTATGGCGTGAAATGTATCAACATTAATTTTCAAAAGAAAAACATCGATCGATTATACAATTTTTCATCTAATCTAACGAGAATGACATAAAACAAGGGAAACGAGAAGCTCGTTGTATGACAATGTTTAAGTGGCAATTCATGCGACATTGAAAATCATAAAAAACGGAAAGGCAGAGGATTTCCCTTGAAATTGTTGCTGTCATAAAGTTTATATCGAAGTATTGTCAAAATAGACCAGAAATCATCAGAATTCAGTTGATCAGTTCCTTACCATTGAGTTTTGTACCTGGATAAGAAACTTAAGCCAGAAGTGAACTTTGAATCATAGTTTAAAAATCATTGACTTAAAATAATACCGTCGAACCTATCGATCTCGAAAGCTATAAGTCTTGCTACCTAATTTATCCCATAGTAAATCTGACAAAACATTCTCCGTGGTACCGATATGTATATAAATGTTGTCGCATCCCATAATACTTTATATGGTGAATGTAGAATGAGCAGCATACGTGAAGTAGTGAAAAAGAGGAAGAGAACATTTATAAGAATATCATAAATTTTTTATTCGAAATTCATGAGCCGAACGAGTGAGTGAGTGAGAGAGTGTGAGACGGTAGAGATGTGAAAGATGAAGTAAATCGAATGATGGTATGAATATTGCGGATAAAAGAGAAGGAATTATTTTCCCATGTGCATAAGCACATTCAACTACTTTATCCTCATTTATAATTCAAAAGTCCTGCTGTTGAGGAATGCTGTGGAGAATAAGGAGTAAGTGCTTTAAAGTGAAATTTCTTCTCTGTTTAAATTTATTACCTGGAATTTTTTTTTCAATTCAATAAAGCATGAGACTAACTTGATCATCCTTTATTGTTGTCATATCATCTGAAACTGACATTTATATGCTTGCTTTTATTATCTATCATGTGCATACAACGATTCTTCATCACCAAATAAATTCTCAAAAATAACATTTTGATTTTTATTATAGGACAGAAAGATTATGTCTTCATTTTATTTACTCTCTGTTTTTTGTGTCCTGTATGGTCACCGCAGGCGATTTAAAGAATAAAATTGAATATAAATTTTATTGGAATGAAAATAGAATTTTAGATTTTATTATGAGCAAAATTTAATTGAAATTGGATTGGTTCTTTTTACATCTTTTGCGTTTTATTTTATCCTATAACATTTTATCCAAATAACCTCGCTCCTCGAATAAAGGAAGCCATGCTTGTATTGCTTTCTTGTAAGTTTCATTTCCATAAGTCCGATCGAAAAATTCTGGATCTTTTTCATCATTAAGTGTAAGATAGTCAAGATCAAATTCTTGAGTTGATTCATATTTTGCTGATAATAAGACATAAAACATTGACATTGCAACTAAAAAGAAGTCTTTTAAAAATTTCAGCCATTTAAAAAATTATTTCCTTACCCATTTCAGACTTTTCGAGCAGATCCTCATACAAATCATCCAAAGTTGGAATATATTGATCATATCCTAATTTCTCCAGCGACTCAACAAACTTATCATGATAATGCTCAATAAATTCATCATAATATTCAACCTTGATGTCATCATGGACAGAAGATATCAAAAAATAATGTAAATCAAGCGAGGGAGTGCCCCAATATGATGATTGGAAATCCAAAATTTGTACATCTTCAGCTTCATTAAATTCGTTGAACTTAAACATAAGATTGTTAAGCCAATAGTCTCCATGTGTCAGCACAACCATTCCACACTTCATTGGTTCAACGACTTTAATCCAATAATGTAAAATCTTGTTCTGATCCCAGCAGGAAATTTTGTCAGCATATTCATCACAATTTCCATACTTTCTTAAATTATCTATAAATGCTTGATAAAGTTGGATTAAAGTTATTCCTAACTTTTCCATTTCAGGTCGTTTCATTTCAGGTGTGATGGATTTTGTCCGTTCTAGACAGTCTTGACTTATTCCTTCCTGAAAGTTTAAAATTTAGATTTGAGGATTTTTTTCAGAATTTTCAAATCTTACCGCTTGATACTTCATAGCACTTACAGCGTGAAACTTTGCCAGTTTTGTCAATGCAAGTTTTGTTTGGTCGACTGTTAATCCAATTTTTCTGTCCATCATTTTATATCCAATTGATTTCAGATCTTCTAAAACAATAATTTCATATGAGCTTGCCTCGATTTTCAAACACTTTGGAGCAAACTGGATGATTTCACTCGTTTTTTCAAGCCACATCTTCTCTAAATTCAAAATTACATCCTCATACATTAGGCATTCCTTTTCAAAAATCCCAAACTTTCCGAAAATTTCATAAATTGCAAGTAAAACTTTTAAGACAACATCAACATTCAGTCGTTCCTTTGTGTCTAAAATTTCAATTTTTATCTTTACCCGATAAACATTTGACATGTAACCTTCATTTTTTGCATTCGCCGGCATCAACAACACTAGTCGAAGTTTAAATTTATTTCTTGTAATGTTAAGTTTACGCTCAACAATGGAACAGAAGAAATCGTCGTTTACTACATCACTCTCAAGGAAATTCTCAGATTGCACGTCACGTGGAATCAACATGTTTGACTAGTTTTGTTTACGAAGAACTGTTAAAAATTATTTTGTAGCTGTTTAAGGTGTGACTGCTGAATGTAAACTGAGAAAAAATCTTTTGGTGCTTCGAGTTATAAAGGAAACATTTTATTTATTTAAGTATTAAGTTTCTTATAAAATTCATTGGTTTCCCGTCCCCTTGGTTATTGCCTCGCTCAATTAATGCCGACTCTTGTGGGGTCAATTTTTATTTAACACATCAGAGAATCCAAATATCCACGCTCGTCTAGAAAAGGAAGCCATAGCTTAAGTGCCTTCTTAAATGTTTCATTTCCATAAATTCTAGTGTAAAACTCTCTCTCCTTTTGACATTCAGTTATGATATATTCCATATTAATCTCTTCTTCTGAATCATATTTAGTGATGAACAAGATGAACAGAAGAGAGACTGCAACTGTAAATAAATTCATTAAATGCTAGGAACTATGCAGCTTTCAATAAATACAAACCCATTTGTGATTTATCCAGCAGATCCTCATACAAATCATCCAATGTTGGAATATATTGATCATATCCTAATTTCAACAACGACTCAACAAACTTATCATGATAATGCTCAATAAATTCATCATAATATTCAACCTTAATGTCATCATGGACAGAAGATATCAAAAAATAATGTAAATCAAGCGAGGGAGTGCCCCAATATGATGATTGGAAATCCAAAATTTGTACATCTTCAGCTTCATTTGATTCGTTGAACTTAAACATTAGATTGTTAAGCCAATAGTCCCCATGTGTCAGCACAACCATTCCACATTTCATTGGATTAACAACAACTAATGAGTGCCTTGAAAGTTGCAGTTGGTTCCACTCGGCAATCTTGTCAACATAATAGTTGCAGTCACGATAAGTTTTTAGAGTTTCCAGAAATCCATGATAATCAGCTATCCATCGCTTTTCAAATTGATTAATGTTGCTTTTATTTTCAGGTGTTACTGACAATTTACGATCCAGAAAGTTTTGAACAGTTCCATTCTGGAAAAGTAAAATATTCTTAAACAAATCAAAGGATAGATTAATTACAGATGTCAAACTCTACCTTGATACTTACTCTTTGATACCTGACAGCACTAGCTGCATGGAACTTTGCTAGTTTTCTCAATGCAAGTTTTGTCTGATTCAATGTCAATCCAACTCTTCTATCCATCATCTGATATCCATTTGCTTTTAAATCATCCAAAACAATAATTTCATAAGGACTTTCCTGACTTTTTAGGCACTTCGGAGCAAATTCAACAACTTCGTTAGCTTCGTCAAGCCAAATTTTCTCAAAACTTGGAATCATATCTGCATACATAAAGCATTCTCGTGTAAAGACGTCAAATTTTTTAAACTCTTGAAATATTGGAAGTAGAACTTTGAAGATGATGCTTAAAGTCATTGACTCATTGGAGTTAAGAAGTGCAACTTTAATCGTAGCTTGATACACATTTGACATGTAATTATCGTTCTTATTTGTAACTGATGATAACATGACATGATTGATCTTAATACTTTCTCTGGATACATTTAACTTTTTCTCGATTATGGAATTAAAAAATTCATCATCAATTATTTCACTACTAAGGAATTCTCTTGAATGTTGATCACGTGAAATAGACATTTTATTTAAGGTTTATTCAATAAATTAACAGCAATAATCCAAACAATTCAGAATTATTCTACGTTTTGTTATTAAAGGCTGATAGTTGAGAACTAACGTAAAAATTTTGACTGTTCAAGCTTATATTGCAGTTGGTTGTTTGATTTATTTTCTAGAGAAACTTTATGCAAGAAAGAAGGATTGGAGTTAAAGCAAGACAGGTGATTAAATTGCGTGATAATTCCAGAACTTGATCAGTTATAAATTAAAGATTTGGTTTTAAAAATAATAGATCAAATTTATGATTTATGGATTTATGTCTGTTGGGTTTTTAATAAATTGTATGGGCTTGGGTTGTTTGTACAAAATTTATTAATCTTATCATAAATATAAAGTTTGGTCTATCTACACAATTTTATATTATTTATAGCTTAAAGAACTTCATTAAATGTTCCCTAAAAATTTTACGTTCCTCAATTAAAGCACATTACAGCTGAAACCAAGCAAAATTATTAATTTCAGTTTATCAAATTCTTATTTTGGTCATCTGGCAGCATAGAATCAAGATATCCTCGCTCATCCATGAATGGAAGCCACGATTTAACTGCTTTCTTGTAGTTTTCATTGCCATAAATTCTATCGAAAAATTCTGGACTTTTTTTGTCACTTGTCATAAAATCTTCCATGTTTATCTCTTCAGGACAATCATATTTAGTAACGAACATTATCATAAGCATCGCTCCAGCAGCTATAAAATTAAAAACATCAATAACTACATTATTTTATAACTTTTGCAGTTTTACATACCCATTCTTGCTTTGTCTGTCAGATCGTCATATAATTCATCCAGAGATGGTATGTGCTGATCATACTTTAATTGTACCAATGATTCAGTAAATTGATCATAATAATGCTTAATAAATTCATCATAGCATGATATTTTGACATCATCATGCACAGATGATGCAACAAAATAATGTAAATCAAGAGCTGGACCAGCCCATGAAGATCCTTGAAAGTCAAGCATCAAAACAGATTCTGGTTCATTAGATTCATTTGACTTAAACATCATATTGTTAAGCCAAAAATCTCCATGAGCTAATACATTCAACCCACATCGCATTGGTTTGGCAACAGTAATCCAAGATGTTAATAAATGATTACGATCCCATCGAGCAATTTTATCAGCATAAAAATCACAATCTCCATATTTCCGAATGCTTTCCAAAAATCCATTATAAATTGTTATAAAGCTTTTGCCAAATGCTGAATCTTCTGTCACCATTTCTGGGGTAAGTGATGCACTTCTATCTAAGAAATCTCTAATCATTCCATCCTGAAATTTGTAAAAAAAAAATCATTTAAGTTTCTTTTTCTGAATGCCCAAATATGGTTTAATAAAAAGTAATTTGAAGTTAGATTAGATTATGTTCAAATTATTTAGTTCCATAAAATGAAAATAACTTCAATGTTCATGATTAACTCTCATCGATCGTGTTGAGCGTGAGAGAAAATCAAAAATATACTCACTTTTTGATATCTCACAGCACTAGCTGCATGAAACTTGGCAAGCTTAGTAAGAGCAAGTTTTGTTTGTGCTGCTGTCAATCCAACTTTTCTGTCCAACATTTGGTACCCAGATGCTTTCAAATCATCCATTACGATAATTTCATAAGGATCTGTTTCGACTTTAATGCATGCCGGTCCGAATTCAACAACTTCATTTGCTCTCTCAAGCCAGATCTTCTCAAAACTTGCAATAATATCTTCATAAATGAATCGCTCGCGTGGGAATACACTAAACTTTTTAAATTCCTCAAGTGTTGTTAATAAAGCTTTGATAATAACATCGACACATTTTCGTTCGTGTGTCTCCAGCACTTCAATTTTAATCTTTGCGCGATAAACGACTGATACAAAATTTTCATTCTTTCCAATTGCTGGAGAAAACAAGACAAGTCGAATTTTGAAACTGTCTCTTGGAATATTCAATCTACGCTCAACAATGGAACAGAAAAATTCATCACCAAGTGCATCACTGTTCAAGAATGCATCTGATTGATCGTCACGCGATACTGACATGTTTAATTAATGACTAAAAAATACTTAATAATGATAGGCAATTTAGAATATAAATTGTAATTTGATGTGAGAAAAAAATACGAATTTTTGACGGCACAGAGTAACGAGTTAAAATCTGTGACTGTCGAATGTAAACTGAGAGAAAAAGAATTTTAAATTTTCATTTATATACTGTACAGTAGTAAGTCTCTCGAAATTTTTTTATAGATAATTATTTTACAAGGTCAGCACAACATGTTGATTCGAAGTAAAAAATAATATTGTGAATTGAAATTGGACGTAAATTTGAACTGCAACTAGGTTTGTTGACTGGCAGCAAATTATAAGGAAGACACACTATTATATTTAAGTTTCTGTATCCTGGAATAGACAAGTTTGTGGAATAATCAGTAGGAATAAATGGAGTTGCAGATAGGTAGACAAGGACTCATGGAATGGTTGTGTAAGCAACGCTGCAAATATGCTAGAAATTAGAAACTGGTAGAAGTTGTGTAAGGATAGAGCCAGTTTTAGGCGAACTCTGAATGCGGCAATGGGCCCACGTGCACCTTAGCCAAGGAAGTAATTAAGTAAGTAAGACAGGTACACAGACAGATAGGTAGACAAAGTAAACACAAATCAACATTTCATTAAAATTAGGTTAAGAAAAAAATCAACATGCATTAGATTTTTAATTTGAGAAATGTTCATTCTTCTCCCATTCTCTCGCGTTATTCAAAGAGAATCAAACGTGCCATGTGTATTCATAGACAGCTATTGTTCGATAAGGTATGCGTTTATTGATAAGAATAAGTCATTATGTTTGATTTTTATCTAGTGCTTCAGTTACCAAACCAAAAAAGGTGATTTTTTTTATCAGGTTACATTTGGTCTTAATTTGCTTCATATTTTCATAATGTTGTGAAATTAAGAAGCAGTTGAGAAATACTTTAAACATCCTACCTTCTAACTGTATAATTATACCTTTGTCAAAAATCCATTAAATTTATTAAAAGTCTTTGAAATTTTATCACCACAAAATCTAGCAACAGCCAATTTTTTTTTTGCAATAAAAATGCAATCATATGAGGTAAGCAGGCACGTAGCTAGGAGGGTTTTGAACCGGAGCGAGAGCACGACCTAAAACGCTTAAGAGGGGGACAAGACCCTCCTGGCTACGCGTCTGAGGGGTTCACTTATAACTTCCAAGAAAATAACCATTATGTTTCAAAAAAGGACAATTGATTTTCATGAATTTTGATTGTTCTTTGTTTGCTGCCTCGCTGAACGTCATATATGAATGGCCCCAAAATCTATTCTAATTTAAAAAAAAAATTACATACACAAAATTTTCATTCGAAAAAAATTCTAATATAAAAGTTGATTGGGTAGCAAGGCCGTTCCTAAATGATACAAAATTGCTTCTATAAATAAATCTAACTTGAGATATAAAATTTCATGATATTCTATCAAGCACCAAAAAGAGATGAAACAATATCAAGCAGAAGCATGGCAAACAAAGATAGAATGAATAAATTTTTTGCAGACGTCTGATACACTTAAGTGTAACATGAAACATAAACTCTTGAAGTTTTGAATCATGACCCAGGATGAATCATAAAGTAGTGTTGAATTTCAGATATTAAAATTCAATTGAAACTTTTCCTGCTCTCTTCTTCTTCGGAATCTTCGACAATGAAGAAAGAGATACAGCAAGAAAGCTTTTAAGTGTATTTTAGACTAGTCATAAAGAATAAAGGAGTGGAATAAGGAAGAGAAATTGTTAGGAAGTTGAGTAAATTTGCTTTAAAGAAGCGCAATTTCGATAAATCGTCATGGATCTTTTTTGTTCTAAGTTTGTAACTTTAAAACTTGAAATAATCCTATTTAAGAATTAGGCTGTAGGCATGAGATTCGGGCTCTTTATAGTCGGTTCCTTTCTTCTTTCAAAACCTCTGATCTTCCAATTTAATGTGATCAACTCTAAAAATTCCAATTCATGAAAATTTGACAATCCAGACAAGTAAAAATTAAACCTGACTTCCAAAAAAGAGCTCATGAACTTCCTCCTTTCAATCCACAAAAAAAAAATTGAAATTTTTCTCACCAAACTCGGATTTGATAAATTGAGAAGAAAAAAAAATCACGAAAAAAAAGAAAGAAGGAACAAAAAACTTTTTCTATGCACTTCACTCCTTCTTTTTATTATTCACCTTACCGATGTGAAATTTTTCGTGTCGATTCCTCTACCGGTGAGAAAAAAATTCCACTGCTACTTAAATATGTAAAGTGCTACTTCTTGAATATTTATGCTTGCAGTTCCTTCTATCTTATTTATCTCATATCTTTTTCATGTTCTATGAAAGCAATATGATTCTATGTTGAGATATATTTTTTGTGCTGCAACTTTTTTTTACATGGATACAAAGTCTGCTGTGCTGCAGTTTAAAGCTTTTCGGGGTTTGGGATTTTACTGGATGTTGAAAATAAGGGTCTTTGGATCAAATTATTGTCTGAAATGAGTCAGGAACAGCACTTTAGTATGATGAGAAGCCGGATTAAATGTAAATTAGACATGATTTTAACAATTGTAAGCTGTTTATTCCTTAAAGTTAAGATGCGCCACATTCACGCTCACCAGAAAAAACTCTTACTCTTCATCGTATATCCACAAACTTTTGTTTTCAAACAGGTTGAAGAAAAGAGGTCAGTTTAAGAAGCACTTTTTAATGTCGCAAAGTTTGTTTTCTGCTTTCTGTGACAGGAAGAAAGTTTCACGGTTTTATGAATTCTCTTGAAAAGGTAAATTTTTATCTCATTTTCGAGTTTGTTTTGAAGTAGTTTTAAGCTTCCCCCTGTCCACAACTTAAATCCTTAAGTGACTTTTCAAGTGCATTAATTAAAACTTTATTTTTTGTTTTTATCTATTTTATTTGGATATGCCACAACCATAATTGCATTGTTAAATTTCAAAGAAGGATAAATTATGATAATAGGACATAACCTCATTATGACTAGTTATGGTAATGAAGCTAATATGATTGTAATGTAATTTTGCTGATAATGACCATCGTTCAAAAGTTTCTATCACAAATGCATCGCCATGACGTCAGTTGATCATTATCTTTCATGGAAAATTTTCAATTTAATTTAAATTTGGCTATCAAAATCAACCTTTATTGATTCCATTTTGACACTAATGGAAAAATAAACCTTTTTTTTTGTAAAATGTACAACATTATTTTATCTTCATCAATTCAATGCAGATTAATTGATGTGTCAGAAAACTGAAAATCAATTTTATATGCTTCACTTTCTAAATGAATATTCGCTGACTTGATTGACATGTGCGATAGTTGCAAAAAGGACAGCGAATTTTACAAAAATAAAAAAATAAAGTTTGTCATGTAAAGTAAAATCATGGAGAGTTTTGGTCATGGCCTGCCGTTGTGTGGCTTGAAACTTGAGCGGAACCTAGTCTCAACATCCCATTGCTTTCATCAATTTATACCTTCCTTCCCAGCCCCTTGACACGACTTAATATTCAATATTATTGACTAGCTCCTTATTGTCAAAATCTACAAAGCCAACTCTTGCAAAAGCATTCTAAAACCTTAAAATATCACAAACCTGACAACCGTCAGCAAGTCAATTCTCACTTCATAAATTATTCGTTACAAAAACTTTGCTAAAAATAAATCAATAAGCTTATTTTGTGCATTTTTCACTAGAATTCAGCAGAATTATTTATTTTTCCACTTGTTTTCTCTCAAGCAGAGCTAATGGAAAGCCAATAAATCTTTGACAACTTTCAAAACATAGAAAAGTTGGATCTCTCAGGAGAAGTCAACAAGACACTACTAAAACTAATTAAAATTGATTTATTTTTTAGCGTTAATGCTGACAATCGGTCAATAACTTTATGTTCAAGTTTACATACAATAACATAGACAAGTTTGTATAGTATTCTCAGTGGACATTCCACTCATTGTAAATTACAAGACAATGTGACGTGACACATTTTGAAAACTTATATATAATGGGTCGTCTAGATATTATGTAACGGTTGAAATTGTCTGTCCAAGAATGTAGCTACAAATATCTGAACTTGTTATATCTCGTTCTCTGAAGCACCACCCCTTCCATAACCATCCCGTAATATTTATACAACCCTTAATCAGACAGTCATATGGGAAAGAAGAACAAGAAGTCGAAAACTTTTCCTGACACATAAAAAAATGCAGAAGAACCTTAATTGGAAACTAATTACGAATCTTTTAGCTCTATACCTTGTTTGTGGTCAAAACAAGCTTGAATAAATAATGATTTGGAATTTATTCTCGTCCAAATAGAGATTTTTCTAGTCTATAAGCTTGAATAGCTTCACGGAATTTGTTTGCATTTGAAAAGCTCTCTCTCTAGAATTTATTGGCTAGCTGAACATTTTTGTACGTTTTATTTGTGGAATGTTTGGAGTGGAGATGGAGAATATTTTTGTGAAAGCACTTTATGCTCAATATTTTAGTGAGAATCTGTTGAGCTTGATGTTATTTGGGTAGCTTTGACTTTAGTGTTTGATTTATTTTTAATTTCGTAAGTTGGTCTTTATGGGAAGCTTTAAAGTTGACATATTTAAATAAGTTAATGATTGTGACTAATAAAGAAGCTAAAAGTATGTTAAGGATTGTTATTATTCTTGTAAGGATGTGATTTTTGGATCCGTGTTGATAGAATTTCCTATTTTTAAGCCTATAAAAATTTCCTAACCTCCCATTCTACTTCCAGGAGCGAAGTCTAATTAAACAAACCAAAAAATCAACAACACCGCCAAAAGTCATTGATACTTCAATCAACAGATGCATAAATTAATTTAAATTTATCTCATTCCCGTCTCAATACCTACCAGATTCATCATCCAAAAGTCCACTGTCTGGTTTTCATTTACAGAAGCTTTTGACAGAATATTAAGTAATTCATGTGCGAACTCCATCAAAAATCCCTTTTTTCAATGAATTCATTTGAATTCGTTGATGAAAATGCTGTTGATGCATCAAATTAGAGTTTCATTAAAAGCCACACACGCGAAAATGGACGTAAATGAATTAAAAGTGAGAATATCTGCATAAATACACGCGCTGCACAAAAAAAAATCAGTGAGTTGGGGATGAAAAAAAAATCAATAAAATATCTTTTTGTCATCTGTTGAGCAGTGAGTCACACTGCAGCACATGCATAGCATAGTTCTGTCAGTTATTAACTGAGTTTTTTTCTATAGAACCACATTGGTTCGGTTAAATTGATAGCGGAACAGATTCCTAGAATTCCATTTAATGCTTTTTTGTTCTGTTTTGAGGAAATACCGCAAGCTTCTCTCACGGATGCGATAAAAAAATGTTGAATTTCCATTGTTTGAATTCCTTTCACAGAATAATTGAATGTGGATATAAAAAAAAGTTTGTTTGTTCTTCTTTTTTTTTATGACCATTAAGTTCTTTAAATTTAAATAAACAGAAGGAAAAGTTTCTACTTTTTTTATTGACTGTGCTTTTCAACTAAAGTTCATTCACAAAAAGACTTCAAATTGGAACGAGAATTAAAAATAAATTTTCAAGGAAAAGTTTAGAATAAATAAAAAAAAAGTCCTGTTAAATTGGCATCGACCTTTTTTTGGGTCTTTTAAATTGTTATTTTTATAGGAAGGTGTGATAATGAAAATATTAAGAGTGGAAATTAAACTTATTCGAATGAACTTTTGTGATCCTTCTGGATAGTTTGTGTTTATTTGTTACTAGGTCGAGTCTATAAAGTGGCCTTGGGAACTAAAAAGGCTCATGAACTGCACAATTGTATATTAAATCAAGTTTTTATAATCATTTAACGCCGAGCCATCATTACTTAATCAGTTCCGCTTTAATAAATGTTCATTCATCACAAAAAGTATCAATTCTTCCTTAATACACTTATAACAATAGGTCAATGAATTAAAGACGACCTAAAATATCCGTGTTCACCCCATCCACTACTTCCATTGAAATATGATATCAAAACGTCTTTATTGACTGTGAGATCATCGATAAGAGCAATAAAAGATGAAAAAGACACTCAAAATGCTTGAAGGGAGGAAGAAAAAGTTTATCTGGCATCTCATTTCATCTCGTTTGGGAGCAAAAACAATTGTGAAATTGCGTCTATTCTATTTTTTTATGTCATCTTTAATAAAATTTATCGTCTACATCTTTTTTATGAATTATTAAAGCTGAGATGAAAAAGCTCATTTAAACCCAAAACAATAAGAAACTTTGCTGTGATGTCCTAAACAAACGGAAGCAAAGGTTAGATAAAACATTGTTCCTTCTCAGGAATTTCAATTAATTTGAAATAAATCATTGAGGTATGTTGGAAAAATTGGAGATGACAAAGAAAATATTGTTTAAAGTATTTTAGACATAATTGAAAACTAAAGTTTATTTAGGTATCAAAGGTAAATAGAAGAGTTTTTAAATACAAGTTGGTCTTAAAAGTCATTGCTCTGCAATTGCAAGAAATATATGTTTAAAAATCAAGCATGAACAGACACTGTTGAGAATATATTAACTATTACGTGCAGGGGGGGGGGGGGGGGGGGGTTCAGCAAGAAAAGAACAATAAAAATTCCTGAAAATGCATTGTTCTTTTTTGTAAAATGACCGTTAATTTCGGACGTCATAAATGAACGACCCCTAAGTTTATTAATAGGGCCTCGTCACAAAAAAATTGTACGTGAGTTTTTAACGGTTTTAACTTTTTTGAAATTTTTCGTTTGTAATTTGTTTGTTTACAAACAAAATTGAAAATTAAATTTAAAAAGTCATGAAAATATCACCCAATAATGATGTAAAAGATCTTAAAATAGCCAGAACAGCTAATTTATCATCTACTTTTCATATTCAAATCATAATATTTGATTAATGATTAATGATTGAATAATTAAGAATTTTGAGAATTTACTTTTTGATGTCTTTTATGATAGTGTTTGTGAAATATTCAAATTATTTTTTTCCGTTAAGCAAAAATCCTTAAAAAAACGTCTAGGCCCAATAAATAAGCATTAAATTAAACATTATCAATCAGCAGACACAAATAGAATCTCCAAACAAGATCCCAAGAAAAACACAAAATTGTTTACAATTTCCAAACAACTTCATCTGTCACAAAAGCTACCAAAAAAATAATAGAAGAAGCGATTTAAAGCAATTTCTATATCCATTTTACTTTACAATCACTTATTTTACATCGTCATAAGCAAAAAAAGTAAAGTTGATGTATCAATCAATAAAAACATCAACATCTTTATACACACATCCCATTCATCTTTATCCACAAAATTTTACGATATATAGCTTCATAAATATGGTTATGGCTGATGATTTTGCCGTTTGGGGACGATCTCAATTTTGTTCTTCTTTTTATTCTCATTCATACGAAAAAGAAGAAATCCAGAGATGAAGGCAAATAAGCCGTAAATCCAAAAGGCCAGTTATTCAATAAAAATGAAATCCCAAAAGGTTGTTTCAGCATAAATCAAAAAAATTGCTTTGAAAAGCACTTCATGCATGTCCACATGTTCTTCCTTGTTGACTTTTTTTTTTCCTCGTCATGATTGTTTTCATCCAAAAAGCTTGGTGCTCATAAGCTCTTTTCCGATTAAATTATCGTTCATCGAACAATTTACTTTTCCTCTTTACTTTTAAATAAAAATTTCATGATAAGATTGAGAGAATTTTGTTCCTTCAAATGCTCAACTTTTTATCAGGAATTTAGCAAGATTATCTGATTTAAGAGCAGTTTGGTTTGGTCAATAAGAGATGAGCATAATCGTACGAACTTAACTTTTTGTGCAATTAGTGTAACCTAGAACAGGTAAAGTAGACACTAGTGCATAAGTACCCTAAGTCCTAGAATGAACCAAGCAACCATTATGCTTTATGAGATTAAGATCAGTCTTCAAACATGCGCTCAAGAAACTCAAACTCAACTTCATACATCAATCGCTTCACAACTTCCATTTCATGTCGAAGCAAAATTTCATTACTTATGAATGTAACGACGATGAGAATTCCATTTATTACAAATCGAAAAAGTTTCTTTCCTTCTTAAAAGACGAAAGTTTCGAGTAATTTTTATTATTATTGATGAGAATTAAACTATAGAGTGAGAGCTTGTATCATCAATATCATATAAGCTAGATAGTATATTGCTCTGGTCAATAGTTTTCTCGCTCGTCTATGGCTCAGTAAAAGATGATTGTGTTGTATGATGAAGTGATACATTTTTAGGTATCGTTTACTTATGATGTCTTGTTTTTTGTATTAAATGTTGAGCATTCAATATGATTGACTGTGGAATCTAATTTAACTTTATTATTAAACTTTATTAAGCTACATTAGAATTATTATCACATTTTGCATCTGCATAACCGAATTTTGCATTCATAGTGAGTTTACTAATATTAAGGCAATATTCTATGCCTTCATAATTGTCAGGTTGATATGAAAGCCAAGGAATCGGAAATGATATTTTCTTTCCAGATTTTGTCCAATACCAGTCTGTAGTTGGACCTACTCTGATACTATCGACCCAATACCAAACATAATTTAGAGATCTCAAATAAGTGCTGCTTTCAAGTTGCATAAAGAATGACTGCTGCTCCTCTAATGTCTCAAGTGTTAACATTTCGAAGCCATATGAGTTACAAAATGAACTTGATTCTCCCCAAGCTGGTCGTGAATATGATGATCGTGAAAGGAAATATTGGGAAATATGACTTTTGATATTCGGTACCATCGTCAGTAAATCCTCCTAAAGTAGCATTCAACTTGATAAATTTGTCAGATTCAAAGACTTTTCATTCTGACTTACTGTAAGTTCCTAGTTTTATGAATGAGACATTTTCAATAATTGTTGAACTTGTAGTTACTGAATCTAATGATTTACAACTTATTAGAACCACCAAACTCAAAAAAATAATTAAAATCTTTAACATTTTTTGTGTTAAATTATTTGCTCACAATTACTTTAAAATTGATTGTTTATTGGACGGTATCGTCAATTTATATAGGAGAAAAGTTATCTGCTAAATGTTAATTTACTTTAAACCAGCTTCTAGGATGATTGATATTGTTATTTTTGAGAAATATCGCAAAGACCCAATTCCAAAAAGTATTGACCTAGTATAAGGGCGACTAGAAGTTCGTTTGAAAAAATTGATACCCTTAATCCAATGGCGAAACTAAAAGGGACGGAGATCAATTCTTATTCATCACTTTTCCTTGAAAACATCCACACGTTCCATATTCATGGTATATAATCAAACTTGTGTAATTTATTGCTAAGCCTTCATCTAAAGACAGAAAACGTCGGAATAATTGATCAGTTAAGGACGGAACATTTACCACAAGTTAATGATTGAGGATACCTTAACAGAGTTATCTATAAAGCGATCAACATCTAAGTCTGTAAACGTAATCAATGTTAATGCTTATAGTAAATGAAATTCTTCAATTTAAAGCAAAACTCCTTTAAGCATCAATTTTTAATGTCCTATTGACATTTCAGACTAGAAAACATTCTTTACAGTCCTGCACATATTTATTTATGCTTAAAAGAATCACAAAACATGTTGAAAACCCAAACAACAAGAAAAGCATTAAAAGTTTTCTCTTCTGTTCCTAACCATTCATCACATCTATTCTAAAAAGTCAATTAAATTAAAATTTGCTAAAAACAGGAAAAAAAGTTTTTATGCTACCCGATAGAGACATGGTCATTATAATTGCAAATTATTTTTGTGTAGTTTTCAACAAACTCCATTTTTATGTTATGATGCCCTATAAGGCACTAAAATACAAATGTGAAACATTAGGAAACAAATCTTTTTTTCTGTAGTCTTTGCATAAATTAGGAGATGTTGAGCTATGCTTTGTGATACTTGTGTGCTACACAAAAATGTTTGACTTGCTTTGTCAATTTTTAGCTTAGAGATTTTTGAAAGTTTTTTTTCAGTTTTCTTCTTTATTGAGGCAAGAAATCAGTTTAAATGCAGTTAATCAATTCTCTCTCATTCTTTGGGTACAATAGGATGAGATGAGTAACGCTTCACAGAATTCATTTTTGATGCAATCGAACGAGTCAGATCAAAAAGTTCTTTTAGCTGTCAAATATAATTCAAATTTACAAAAACATTCAAGCAGTGCAACATTAAAACAATACAAGGGGTACGCAACAGTCACGGAACATTCAAGACACTTGTTGCATGAAATTCAAATTCAACGGCATTCAAATGAATGTAAATTGAGAGGACATTGACTCTAGATGAAATCAAACCAAATTGTCTGCTGTAAAAGATTTATGGCGCTTATAAATAAATAAAAAGTTATCGATTTTGTCTATAATTAAAACAACAAATCATTCTTTTATTCTCCAAATATTTCTGAGTACATAATGTAAAAGATTTAGGCTTCATTTGCATTTAAAAAGTGGCAGATAGGATGAAAATTGCTTTAACTTGCATAAATTTCATAGAGGGAAAAATTAATTAACTTCCATGCGTAAAACAGGAAGCAACTCTCATCTCTCATAGACAACATAGCAACAAACCTAATTACTCAATGTTAATCTAATCCACACATATCATGTGGACACTTTTAAGCTACAATTCATACTCAATCTATCAAGAAAAAGACTCAATATTTTTTTTCACGTTTAATTGATTAAAAAGTACACATGGCAAGGTTCACAAAAATCAGGAGAAATGTCAAAAAATTTGGAAAAATTAAAATAAAGTTAACAAATCAGAACGAAAAAAAAAAGAAATACGGCTTAAATGTCTTGTTGAAATATAATTTGAATGTGTGTGTATGCTTCATTCTCCAGCAGTTCAGATAGATATTCATCGAATTTAGAATGCTAATCCAGCATCACGGTATGTTGTGAAGATTTTCTCAATTGAATTAATGTAAGCGGCTGTTCTCAAGTCAAGACCAAGATTGAAGCGTGCAGCGGTTCTCATGATGTTGCGGGCTACAAAGAAAGAATATTTATAGTCTTTTGGTTTTGTGGTCAGTTATTATGAGCATGGGAAGTAATAATTCGCAAACAAAGTAATACTAAAGGATCGGAAATAGCGACACAAACAGTAATTCAATGAATCACCGCATGAATCAAATGTCAAGATTATTTTTCATGACTAATGACCAGATTACAGTTTGTGTCAAATGTCTCTAACCGCAATCTATTTGCGGTCCTTATCTATTAACAACTCCTATATTAAAATAGAATTAAATTACGGAGAAACTGCATGATTACTTCCATTCATCAAAATTATTAAACATACCTGAACGTTCCATAGTGTAGTCGAGTCCAGAATGTACAATGTCTTTCTCTGATGCACCAGAAATTCTCTTTTGGAAAGCTTCTGATGGTGTGACTGGAATTCTTCCACCGACACGTCCAAAACGTCTTTCTAATGATTCTTGGACACTTTCTGTGAGAAAGAGAGAAGAACTTATTAGACAATCGATTCATTCCTTTAACATATAACTAATTCTGTGAACTTTATAAGGTGATCAACATTAAAGGTTGAAAGAATATTATATTAATAAGGAGAGATTAATAGAGGGCTTTTGTACTTAAAAACAGATTAATTTACAAAACTTTTAATTTCCTAAAGATATTAATCCAATTTGATCATTCAAACTTGCAAAGAAGGTAATCTAATGTCTAGAAGTCAGAAATTCATTATGGCTAGTATTCAGCTAGAGTTGAAATCTTCATCATTCTAAAGTATTAACGTTAGCTTCAATTTTAGGCTGTATCTGCACACAAAACATGTTTCGATACATTGAACATTCTGTTTTCATGTCAAATTCATGTTTCTATGTCACACAACACATTTCTGACCGATTTTTGCAATCCCACACCTTTATACCTCAATACCAAACCAGATTAGATGGAAAAGTCATTCAAGTTGGTGATTTTCATAGCTTTTCCTCGATTTAACCCAATTCAAAAGACAGAGAACATAAAACACAAATAACAAAGATTTCAACTTTAAACATTAGTCTACAAATCTCAGCTGCTTGCAATTTCATTTGCAAATTCACCAAGATCCAACTAGCACATAAATCAAGTCTGATTTCCAAGGATAAGGTTCTTTATCAGAAATAATGATGCACAAAATTAGCAAAAATAATTAAACATTGAAACAGATACGTTACTGTCTTGTAGCGCCTTATCAAGAGATTCTTCAATTGAAGCTATATACAATTTAGTTTGCAGTATATATTTTTATATTTGTGCGTATACCAATTTTTCATATATTTTGTTTTTTTTTTCAAAAAAGGAAGGGAAAAAGAAAAATAAAAACCATTAAAAATATTCTCTGTCAAAAAAAGTCAACGGCGTTGTTTTTTTGGCAAAATAAGTAAAGCAAAGAAGTTTAAACTTAGCGATAGCATTAAGAAAATATGAAATAATAATAATAATAATAAGAGAGATAAGTGCGATGCCATACTAAACCAAAAAGAAATATTAAGCGTGTATAAATGAGTTTAAATCACAAATAAACTCCTTACTCACCTAAGAGGTGATAATTTGATTCACGTTCATATTTAAATGTAAGACGACCATATGAGACATGATTAAGATTTTTGAGCCATTCAAAGAAGGAAACTGTAACACCACCAGCATTGATATATAAATCGGGAATGACAAGAACGTTACGTTCAATAAGGATCTTTTCAGCGGCTGGAGTTGTTGGTCCATTGGCTGCTTCAGCAATAATCTTTGCCTTAATCTTATGAGCATTTTCACTTGTAATAACTTTTTCAACAGCAGCTGGGACGAAGATGTCGCATTCTTCGAACATTAAGCTTTCACCTTCGTATGGCTGAAATAAATTTTTTAATAAGCATCTAGTCTAAGACACAAAGATCACGTGAATAGCTCACCTTAGCTCCTGGGAAACCAACAATTGTTCCATGTTCATTACGGTAATCTTCTAATGCCTTTGGGTCAATACCTTCTGGATTATAGATTGAGCCATCATATTCAATAATACCAATACAAGCAGCACCAGCTCTTGTCAAATAACGGCATGTGTGAAGACCGACATTACCGAAACCTTGGACAATGAATGTCTAAATGAAAAAAATGAATGTTTTAATTCCAATAAAAATAAATTGTATTATTAAACTACCTTTCCGCCCCAACCTGGAGTTGTTCCAATTTGGCTCATGTAAGCGGCTTCATTGATGAAGTTTTCAATTCCGTGGAAAACACCACGTCCAGTAGCTGAAACACGTCCATGAATACCACCTATTGTGTAAAAGAGAATTGAATTTTAATGGAAATTTATCTATAACTCGTGACTCAATATAAGCATCATAAATGCAAGTTCACAACAAAGTCAAGGACTTAATAAAAGAGCACTAATTAAATCTCACGTGAGGTCTCATAAAACATTAAAAGTGATAAAGAAGTACTTCAAACTTTCCCAAATAACAACTACTAAAACTTTATCTCCTCATCGTAACTTCAATAAATTTATGTCCTCAAAAGTAGTAGATATTTACCTTGATTGATTGGTTTGCCAGTAACGCAGGCGTGTGCATTGATATCTTGATATCCAACAGTCTTAGCATATGTATCAGCGATCCAACTCATTTCACGTTCGCCAGTTCCCATATCTGGAGCTGGGACATCCTTTATTAAACAATTTAATAGAGTCAATTTAAGTTCAATAAATATTTAAGTTAAGAACTTACAATGCCTGGTGCCAAAAATCCTTTCTTTGCCAATTCAAGGGCAAAACGACGTGTAATCTTCTCCAATTCATGTTCTGAATATTCCTTTGGATTAATTTTAATACCAGCTTTAGCACCACCGAATGGAACATCAACACAAGCGCACTGTGAATTTTTAAAGAGAAAAAGTATTAGATAAGTTTTTGGTTCTAAAAAAATAAACCTTATATGTATCACCTTGAATGTCATCAATGCTGACAATGCTTTCACCTCATCACGACATACGTCCATAGAGAAACGAATACCTAAAAAGTGATAAGAAGACGAAAAATTCATTAGTATTTTGGCAACAGTGTGCTTTATTTTTGAGTGGAACAAGCCCGTGTTTACGTAAATGCACATAAATTAAATGTAGGAAAAATATCAGAATATTAAGTATGTCTGCAGAAGCTGCCATAAAAAACTATATAGGAAGAATATAAGCATAATCGTGCGAGTTCTCATCGTATAGTTATCATTAAGAAAACACAAAAACTATAAATTTAAGCCGAAAAAGAAGGAACGAAAATAACTCAAAAAAGACCTTGAACCTCTTCAATTAAAGAAATTCAACACAAAAAAAATGTTTAAATTTAGAATAAGCCGCAATAGTGCTAATGTTATAGACACGGAAAGGAAAAGTCAGTCGATAAATGCTCAAAAAAAGTGATCATATGATCGAAATGAAATGACGTCACAAACTTTTTCTGACACACCTTCATCATGTTTATATTTCTATTTTCGTTATCGAGCCTCTCGAGCTTACACATAGAGGAGATTAGACAATTCTTTTTATACACTTTTTCCTCTGTTATTTTAAGCAGTATAACACATGTGAAGTTTTAATTATGATGTTTACTTCCAAGTTCTTTATTTTTGACAAATTTTCCTTGCGAAGATCACTGATTATGCTAATCATATGTGAGCGTCAAGACACTCTTCTTATCACTAAGTCAAGTGTAAATAAGAATCTTAGGGAATGGGGGGCAATGTGAAGTTTTTTTTTATGATTTACACATTCTTGCCGAGCAACAAAACATTTATTTCTTTATTTTGTCTTCGTTCCTCAATAATTTTTGTGTTAAAGATATTTTGCGTCGTTCATTTGTGTACCTTATGTGAATCTTTTATGAACTCATCCTTATGATTCTTTTAATCATCAATGGTGCATTTTCAATCAAAAAGTAATCCAAAAGTGACACAATAAACATCGTTCGACACTTTAAGACACAGCTACGTTGCACAGATGTCACACTTTATTTATCTTGATAATGACTCAGCTAAATAACGATTTATGGATTAAGTTTTCAGCGAATTTGATAAAGAAGTGTTTTTCCTCATTTAATCAATTATGGATTAGATTCTTATCAGTAATCTCAAGCCTAATTCTTTAAAACTTCGTCTTTACATTGCAACCGCAATGTCACACGGTTGCATTAAAGGATTCAAGACACACAACTGCATCGCAACTGAAATCTGTGATTCGCAACATGTGTCGACAACAGTGACTGCCACAATTAGAATAAAAAATGTGCCGCAACAGTTGCACAACATAAAAACCTTGTTACATTTCAACTTGTTTACCAAATCATGGCTTGATAAATATCAATTAGCAACCCTATAGCAATGACGTAAAGAAGTATTTACAAGAAGGTGATTAAATTTAAAAATTTGAGTCTTCATGCGTCAATTTGTCAGATAAATTAGCACTGTCTCTATTTACTCAAACTTAAAACTCGAAATATTCAAGTTTAAGGCCTTTGGAAAGAGTCAAAAGCCGCTCATTTACAGTTCATTTCCGAATATTTTCAAGGTTGAAGATAGAAATAAATACCGGTCGTAATCTGACAAGAAGATGTAACCATAAAAATTATACTTTTGTTTACGATCTTTCAGCCAATCGCGACTAGTCCACATGATCATTAAAATCGCATGCGTTAAAGATGAAAATCGTAAAGAGAAACCAGTCGTTATCAAATAACACAAATGTGGAATTATTTTACTCCAAAGAGCATATATGTTTGTTGGACGAAAATTAAGCAGAAAGAGAATTATAAAAATTATTTCATTTCTTCTTTAAATGAGTGCAGTTAAGAAGACAGAGATTTTTAAAAATTTCTAGTAAAAGCAAACTCGAAAGTCGTTTGCCAGCTTTTTCTAAACTGTCTTTTGACACGTGATTGTCACGCGATAGCTTACGAACTGTTTTGAGTGTAAATATTTGTATAGTTTTTTTTTGTTCATGGAACTTTTTGTGTGTCTTTGAACTAAATTTGAATAAAAATGGAGCAAATTTGGGAATGGAACATGAAACTTTTTCAAGAATTGCTGATTAAATAAGAACTTGTACCTGATTATATGTTCATTCCCGTCAGGTAGAAAATCATCTCCCGATGATGAATCTTTCACGCAGTTCTTGTTAATTTCCTAATCCCTAAATGTGAAATATGTCGGTTGCTACAAATTTATGGCTTCTTGCCCGATGTTATTCGACACATCTGAATCAAATTCAACAAGTTGCTTTAATCCTTAAAGTTAAGGCTTCTAAAATCGGAAGCATTTACGTATTAAAGAAACGATATTGTCAACTAAAGTGGAATCCCGATTGTGTTCATCACACTCTGCTGTCATTCATGACAAGAATCACTTCTAGTGTACAATAACTAAACAATAGAGTGAATTTACAATCAATTGGAAAATTACATTGACGATACTTATTGCAGTCAAGCATTATTGGATGGATAACTAAACATAGTCGTGCCCACACAATTAATGAATCCAATTTTACGACATTATCAGTTAAAATTGTTCTAATCAAATAAATCAGTATGACATAAAGCAATAAACGTGTGTGTTTTGAAGTGTCGAATGACGATAATCTCATCAAGATCAACAAAATAGGTGTAAATTAAATTATTTCCCATTTTTAAAGGGTTTTCAGATTTTTGGCTTATTTATAGCCAGTTATGCAAGTTTATTTACTTTTTAAAATGCTACACGTCTCACGGACGCAATATTTTACGTCTGGAGTTGATACGATGCACAAATATTTGCGATAACAAATCTGAAACTCGAACAATATCAATTGTTACCAAGTGACGATATGTTTGTGTCTATTTAACTATTCCATAATATACCATAAACGTGCTAATTGATACTTGAGTGATTTGGCATTAAATGATTTATAGTAGGCAGTAGTGTTTGATAAATATCGAATGATTATTTAATCAAAATTTTATACAACAAAAGTCATTCTTATGTATATTGACGCGTTATCACCAAATTCGACACATGAATCGAGTTAACAATATTTTTTTTCGGAATGATAACAAATATTATTGTAGTTCCTACTTAATTTTTCATTTTGCAGGCACTCGAAACGAAGTTTTTCAATGAAAAATATGTTTTTGTCAACTTCAAATATTTGTGGATTATATAATTAGCGACATAATCACTTCCATGTTATATATTTTTATAAAATAGATGAGCCGTACCCCGACATAACGAAAATCAATAATGTAAACATTACTGGGAGTAATTCTGGCTTTCTTTATGTCTTTTTCTACTTTTTTGAGTGTTCATTTTTATTTTTAAATGCACATGCTCCATCCAACAGACAAATTGAGCTATTTGCAAAGTTCTTTATTATGTGCAAATATTTTTATAATACATTTATAGTTTTTTTTTCCTTTCAGCTATAAATAGATTTCCTATTCACACATAGAACATAACACAGGGAAAACACAAAAATAATTTTTCCGCATTTCCTTTTCACTTCTCTTCTGATCAACTTAGAAAAAAAATTAATTAGCTGGCTTACATGTGTTTCCCTCAAATTTAGAACACTTGTTTAATGGGTCATTGAACGACAACACTTTGTATTGAGTCTACACACTTCACATTATTCTACATTTTCGTTTGTGATTATGCAACAGCAAAAAAGTTCTAAATTTTTCTGGCAATTCAATGTCTTGCGACTTACCTCCTTTTGTTGGTGTACGATGGCTTGAATGTTGTGCACGATATCCTGTGATGTTTTCATAAACACCATTATCACGTCGGAGTGGGAAAGTAATTTCAATAATATGATCGCAAGCTTGCATCAAACTCAAGATACCACGAACTTTGTTACGTTTCTCTTCTAATGATGATCGTTCCTTCATATTTTCGATTAAGGAATCCTCAACAACTTGACACCCACGATGGAAAAAGTATTCAACCTGTATCATATGACATGATTAATATTTCATGCACGAATGGACATAGACAGACAGAAAACTTACCATATCGAAGAATAATGGATTAGCGGCAGTAGGAATATGTTGTAAACGTTCCGGAATTTGATGTCCTGTATATCCACGGCATTGTTGGTTCGAACTTAAGGCGACTGGTAAAGCTCTTGTCAATTCCTTGGCGACCAAAGAAGATTTTGCGATATTCTTCAAGTGATACATTTTTTTGCTTTTTTACTCTGACTTTTTTCACACAAACTTCAAGTTATCTACAAGAATTTTAAACCTAAATTAAATATACCGAACAATCTGAGCTGGACGACGCGACTTTACTATCGTAAAGCTACAGAATAAATGAGAAAACTGTCTGAGAAATTAAATTTTTAATTCTCTTCTGATTTTTCTTTACATCTTGTTCTTCGAATTTTCGGATTAGTATGACTTTTATGAAATCTCACCTCTTTTGAGAATTTTTGAATGAAATACTGATTGAATTGATTAGATCGCAGTCTTATAATGTCAATAAATAACTTATTTCACTAGTTTAACAAACAAAACACGCTATTATTTAATTAATTTTAAGAAATTTTCACAAAAATACGTTTGAAAAATTTTTATGTTTTTGAATGTGAAACCCCCTTTGTTTTCAAAAATTCAAATTTTTCGCATAACGGTTTTTTTCTTAAGAATTATTTGTATCAACACGTGGCTCACCATTGAAGTGTGATTTGCGTCAAACAGCAAATTGTTTTGGACAAATAATTGAGGATTGACATTCTATTTAGCAAGTTGCATTTTACAGAAATAATAAAGAAAACATTCTTTTATTATGTTTATCAAACACTTAAATTTTTATAGCCCCATACCCTCATTTTGTCTGCTAATCTCTGAAATTTTAAAGACTTTAAAAACAATTTTAAGTAATTTTTGTACGATTCAGTCCTCTACAAGAGGTTTATTTCCAATGATAATAGGAGGATAAACGTTTCAAATTAAGTTGATTAATCACATTTAATGAAATCCATAATGATGACGATGAAATGTTAATTAATTATTGTACTGCATTTTCACATGGTGTGCCAACAATCACTTCCTCTGTCTTTCCAGTCAAAATTCTGTAATTGTAACCTGGTTCCAAGTTTTTGTAGATAAACAACGGCATTCTATCACTCAAAACATACAAATTTCCTTTATCATCAACTTTCAAGTCATTTGGAAAAACCAATGTGTGGCTATCGGAATCAACAAGACCTTGATTTTCTGGTGTGTATGGCTTCTTGATATTCCAGCAACCAATTGCATCACGGTTGATTTGTGTGTAGAAAATAACGTCAGTTTTTTCATCGTAGAATTCAGCTGTGGCCTGTGATTTAGTTCCTCTATCTCCTAGAAGTGTGTATGCATAGTAAGAATCACCTGATGTAGCAAATGTTTCATTCTTAAGAACCGTATTAGGTACTGAGAATTCTTTAGTTGATGCCAATGCATGGAAATAAACGGTTCTGTCACTGGAAATAAAATAATAGAACAGGTTTAATAAGTTATATGCATACAAGAATGCAGTTACACTTACCCATGCTCATTTGTTGGTGTGCCTAAAGCCATTCCAAAAACTCCATCAGTCCATTGGAAATTAACTCCACCAACAGTTAAATCGCCTTGAAGTGGATCAAAGTGGAAGAAGTTGTGCTTTACACGGTAAGATTTGTCATTTTTAAAGTCATAGACAACGACAGCGTATGAGCCGAGATCAGGAAGATAAGCAAATGCATTACTGCAGTCTGATGCTTGTGTATCAATAATCTGAAATTAATGGATCAGGTACATAAGAATTAATGCAGTTACTTAATTGAGGAAATAAAGTCAGCCTTACGATATTTGCAAAGAATGAATCTTCTTTGACTTGATCTTCAGGAATGACGAATCGTCTGATTAATTTATCAGTGTTAAGGTCAAAAACAGCAATTGAATTTGGGGCCCATTGTTTTGGCGAGCCTAAAATATCAGCCAATCCACTATCCATGACCCACAATCGATCACAATCATCAGCTCTGATACGGAAGGTCGAAATAATCGTTTCATTATTCTTTGCAAGTAAGTTGTCAGCTTTTTCTGCTTCTTTTGCATCTGTTCTACCACCTCCGTAGCTTGCTTGTGTAGTTTGCTCAGACTCTGGAAGTTGATTAGCTTCCCATGATGGATATGGAATAAGAACCGGTGACCTCTCGTCATTTATTTTGAAATAATTCAATGAACTAGCCACACCACCTTTCCATCTATAGCAAAGTAAATAGAATGATGTTCAAATTAATAAATTAAATAGCATGACAGCGACAATGACGTCATGTTTTCGAGTTCTTGGTTCTGTAAATATTATAATCATCACATTGAGTAGTAATCATATGAATGTAAATCAATTTGACCCACATATTGTCTACATCTATTATAACTTGCAAAATTCGGAAGGGGAAGTTCATCTATGTTCAGCCTTGAATTCGATCAAAAGATAATTACTGACAAATATAATAGTAAAGGAAGTTTGACTACCTACAATAAATCTTTTTTGTTGATAAATTTGTATGTAGGCATACTTGTCAAAAGATAAATATAGTTTGCAGTGCAGTTCATGCATAAATGAAGTCTGCGATAAGAAGATTCTTCCTTAAGAAATTTCTTCAAATCAACATTGGCATCCGCTATTTATAAACAACCCCAAAAAAAGATTAATTGCAATTTGATATTTTCAATTAAACGCTTCTTGCATGTACAAGCGTTTAAATTCATTCACACAATTACAATCGTCGGCAAATCTAAATCTAGTCAACTGGTTATTCTCTCTTGCTCTCTCCCTCTCTTTAATCAAGGTCTATTGACTTCTACATCTATGAATGATTAGAAGCACTTAGGAAATTTATTATGCAAAGAGTTCTTCAACCTCACATAGAATTAAAGCTTTGCTGATTCTCAAGCATCTGATAAATTATTCTATTGATGATTTGTTTTAAGAATATTTCTGAGACAAAATGTTAATGTTAATCAGTTTCCAACGTTTACTTGTTGATGCTACATGCAATGATCTCAAAAGAAATTTGTCAAAGATGATTAAGTGTTTATTGTGCATTCGCAAAGTCTAGACATATCTGTTGTTATTAATAAGGTATAGTGTGCATGAAGCAACAGATCAATCTGCATCAAATCCAAACAACTCCATATTCATTATGATGCACAAAAAAAGCATTTAAATAAGCTTACAAATGTCAGTTTTGAACTTGACTACTTTGAGTCAATTCATTCCCATTCAATTAATCAAAACTTTTAATTTCCGAATGTTAGTCGAAAACAAAATGTTCTTACATAATGCCAAAAATTGATTGATGTGTGCCAAATCGCTTCCAGAATTAATTAATTTTGTTACGTATCGAATGTCCTTGAAGGGTGCTTTTACTGTGGCTAATTTTGGATTTGATGAAACTTGATTGATTATTTAATGGAACTTGACCTTAAAATAAACCTGACATCTGGGATTTTGAGAAACAATATTAAGCAAATTCTTTTCAAAGAATTCTTGGAATCAAAGATTCTTGGAAGTGATAATCAAGTCATTATTAAGCAGGTGATTTTAAAACTTAAAATGGTAATTTGTAAAAATATGTTAATGGATTTCGAGAAATTGGGGAAAACATTTGATGATGCAAAAGTTCAGTAATCTTTCAAACAGTTGCTAATTAAATGTTACTTGTTTCTAAATTGAGGAAAGTGCTAAATTTGAATATTCTTCTAAAACTTTATCTTTCAACAGTCGGATCTTCTCCTCATCGAACCGTCATCGAAGAAATACATCACTTAACTGAATCCTTTAACATTATTCTCAGTGATTCATTTTCTTTCTACCATTAAGTTTGGAATCACATCTGGAATATTTTGAGGCACAATCAATAATACAACTAACGTGAAACATCAAAATATTAATCATATCTGATTCCCAATGTTCAATAAAGGAATTTCCATCTCCAACTTGTTTTACAGCTAGACCTTGGGGTTTTTGTTCTTATCAGCTTACTATTTTACATTGAACTTATTTTAAAAACTTGATCCTGACTGCATCAATGGTGACATTCTATTCATTACAATAACAATAGAAATTCCTTCCAATTGAATTCAAAACTTCAAAGAGGAACCTTCTAAGACAAAAAGAACAGTCACATACTGGCGCTGATTTGTCTGAGAAATGTGAAAAAAATGAACAAGCACCAAATTGGTCTGTTGCGAATGTCTAGTCACGATTTTTTGATCACGCTTTAGTTTTTAATGCATAAGAATGCGATAATTGATTTATGACTCATAAATTCTTCAAATTAGAGAGTTCCTAGTTAGCACATAGTAGATTGTAGTTGTTGCGATTCAGAGGGGATCATTATCCAATGATGTTTGGTTAAAAAGGAACATTCTTTTTCAGACCAAAAATTCCAATTTTATCACAATATTTTCTTCACTAGTTCCCCTTTCTTAATTATAGGCTGGGCGTAATTGACGAACCTCCCCAAACGAATCTTAAAACACATGACTGGCTCAAACGCATGCTTCTGTCAAGCCATAAATTATCGAATCAAACAGCAAACAAATTTTTTTCACAATTTTCGCATCCAATGAATATCAATTTTTTTGCAGGCACTAAGCTGATTCTTTGCAGTTTCTATTTATTATTCATTCACGTTTCAAAACGCATATAGGTGCATACGAGAGGTGAATTGAGCACAGATAGATTATCTAATAAATTATAATAAACATACCTAGGCACTGTAATGAACATTTTGTCTTTCCACACTTCCAATCCAAGTGGTAAATTATGACTTTCAATATATCTTCCAGACTTAATAGCTGCTTGTTTAACTTCTTCAGATGGCCATGCAAAATCCAGTTCCTTCCACATATATTTCTCGTCTAATTTCTTTGCAAATGTTGTTACAAACAATGCAAAAGCTATAAACACGATCAACTTCATGGTTCGATTACTTTTTAATTCTTTTTTTCCACACTTACTGACCGGCAAGCTGATCACGACTGAGTGTCTCTCTCAATATGTGCAGTGATTTTATAATCGTATAATTACTAATGCTCTCTAGTTGCCAAAGAGACTCACGACTTGACAAACTGGATTTTCCTCTTCTTTTTCATATTCAGTGAGACAAACAACAAAAGGCAACTAGTGCCAGCCATATGATGAAGAATAGAGAAAAAAAAAATAGAGAATGAATATAAAAACAAAAACAGAACAGCGGTTCAGTGGTGGCGGTATGTAAAGTCACGACTAGAACTTTTCTGTCAATTTTGAATTAACATTTTCATGTGTTTAGGAAATTTCTGAAGCAAACGTGATATTGATGAATGAGACTTAGACATAAATGATTAATTCGAGATTTATGCTAATTATTTTGGTTTTAAAAATGAAGTTAACTTAGTTCCATAGTAAATATTCGCATCAACGACTTAGAACTCTACTCTATAGGTGTCCTGCAAATAAGGTATGCTTGCCGTTTTAAACAAGTAGAAAACGATCCAATCCCAAAATTTCTGTTATTTCTGACAAAGAAGATGGATCTTACTTGACATTTTCATGTCACACGGATTTTAAATATTTTCAGATATTCAAATCCAAATAACCCAACATTCGCAATCAAAATTCGATTCAAATTGGACCAATTTTACGAATCAGTAGGTTTGGATTTACCGAAAACATAAAAGATTTTCGCGAATTTGATATGGTTGTAATCGTTCTGCTTGTTACATCTATTTATTTGACTAAATTCTAAATTGATTTGACGTCATGACTTTGTGATGCTTATTTTGTGCATGCAACAGTTTTAATGAGTGTCGAAGCTTGTCGTGAATTAAAATATTCTAATTTAAATGCTTTCATTTATTTATAATTTGATGCTAATAAATTAGATGCTTAATGTCAGAAATCGATTAGGAAAAGTGCTGCATTTAGGAAATAACAAATCCAGTTTAATTCAGAACCTCAAATAACTTCAATGGATAGTTCTGAGAATCATGTAACGTTGAGTCTTTGTGCAATTGGAAATTCCCAGATTTAAATGTACATTGTAGGTCAAAATTTACGTACACAGCTCCAAAACGTACAAAAAATAATTAAACCAGAACGCCTCAACACAAACTGCCCGAACCTTCCAGAAGAATGCTAATTTTCTGTTCCAATGTCCAATCAGCACGTTATTTGACCTTTTTTAGATCAAGTGAATCAGTTTTGGATATTGAATAACTTTATTAAAGAGTATGAGTCAAAAAGAAGCAACAACAAGAATTTTATGAGATCTACAAAAAGATCAAAAATTTTATTAATAATTGAAAAGTATTTTCTCTAGTTTACCACAAAAAATGTCTTTCAAGGAAATATAAATTCTCTAGGAAGATTAGGTTCAAGTTTTTTATGAAAATAATAAAATTCACTTCTTAACAAAGGTAAGAGGTAAATACGAAATGCACGAAACAAAGTTGTATAAAAAATAATAACGAGTATAAAAAGAATCTACAATTCATCACGAGACTTGTCAGCCGTAAGATGGCTCTTGACAAAGTCAAACATATCTTCTAAGCTTCTGTTTCCATTATATTCGGTAATCTTTTCACCATTCTTGTAGATGAAAATGGTTGGGAAACCTTGAACGTCTTGTTCGCTGCATAAATCACGGTTTTCAGTCAATGTACAGTCAACTTTTCCGATCTTGACTTTCTCATCACCGACGAACTTCAAGGCTAATTGTTGCCATGTTGGCTGCATTCTCTTGCAGTGTCCACACCTGAATAGATTTGAGAAAGTTAAGAACAAAAGTTAAAATTTGATACAAGGAAGCATACCATGGAGCATAAAACTTGACAAAGGTGACGTCATTCTTAGTGACTTGTGGAAAGTTATCAGCAGACAATGTAACAACAACATCGCCTTCTCCCTCTTCTGTGGCTTCTTTGGTTGGCTTTTCTTCTTCCTTTTGCTTGTCTTCTCCACCCTTTGATGCTAATCTGTTTTCGACATAAGCCTTTAAATCTTCAACTGTACGTGGTCCGCTATATTTGTCAACCTTCTTTGAATCTTCAATCCATAAAAGTGTTGGATATCCTTTAACATCGAAATCTTTACAAAGTGGACGATATTCAGTACAATCGACTTTTGCAATGTTGACTGACTCATCATGTTCTAATGCTGTGGCTAAATCGTTCCAGATAGGAGCAAGACGTTGGCAGTGCCCACACCTATATGATTAACAGAATGTAAAAATATTATGTAGACAGGCATTTAATAGATAGAACATACCAAGGGGCATAGAATTTAATGAACCAGCTTCCTTTAGAAGTGAAATCTCCAAAGTTCTTATCATTAAGTTCAATAAGACCTTTCAATGGACTTGGCACAACTTGTTCCTCGTCGGCTTCTTCTTCTTCTGTTTCTTTAAGTGTGGATGTTCCTAATTGTTCATTAATAAATGCAGTTAATGATGGCAAATCACGGGTTGAACGATATTTAACCGGCTGTTCAGCATTGACATTGAAGTACTTAAGTGTTGGATAGCTAAAAAATTTATAAATAAATCAGTAAATTTGATAATTTAATGCCGGCAGATTAAGTTTTGTTTACCTTGTAACTTCGTTATCAGAGCAAGTTTTATGATTTTCAGTACAATCAACTTTTGCAATTCTCACTCGGCTTTCTTCCTGAGTATTAAGCATTTCTGCTAATTGATTCCATGTAGGCTTAAGTTTTACGCAATGTTGACACCTAAACGAAGACAAATAAAGTACACATCACATTAGTTTTTCATTATAATTGATAAGCATATTTTTTCGAGTTACGATAAGACATCTGTTTTATGGAAAGCAAGTAGTCTATAAGCGGCGGAAGAGGCATTATGAATATGATAATTTGAAAAGTTTCAACTTGACCACGTATTAAATTTTTGAATTACTATTTTTATCATCACGAGAATCATCCTTATACATGCATCTCATTCAGAATAGAAAATATTTACAGTTAGTCTGTATGTTTTACTAATACTTCCAATAAATTTGCCGAAAAAATGCTCAATTTGTGAAAAGTCATCAATTTTTTTGTGCCAAAACTGTCACATTTTGCTCATCAATCATTGTAAACGATCAGGCACTTACCAAGGCGCATGAAACATGACAAAGAAATTATTTGTCTGGATCACTCCTTCGAAATTATCGTCTGTAAGAATTATTGTAGAATCTGCAACTTCTTCCTCGTTATTTTCAATGTCATTTTCTTCGGAAAATGCGCAAGCTACGAGCAAACAAACAAATGCAAGCACTTTAGAGTTCATTTTGGACTAGCTTTATTCACTTTTTGTATTATAATTAAGTAAATTTCAAGGAGAAAATCAGAAATTTGCAGCCAGTCTCAAACCTCGAAAACTTATCAATGCGGAATGAAAAGACAGACACAAAAGATCGACTGGAATTTTATTTGATTTCCAATATTTCCACGGGAATGAGAAAGCGTGGTTTTTGAATTAAACGGTTTTTTATTGTCAACTATACTGAAATTTTATTGAACTAATTTATTATCAATGCTTATAGAAAAACTAAGTCATTTAACTTTCAATATAATCTTTAAAAAGTTTAACTGAACGTTGTCCCTGATATCTGTCAATTATATTTCCATTTTCAAGCCATAATATTGTTGGAGAGTTACGGATCATGTATTTTTTGCAGGTTGTCTTTTGATATTCTACACAATCTATTTTTCCAATACGAACTGATGAGTTTTGTTCCAAAACGGATGGTAATTTATTCCAAGTTGGTTCGAGGTTCTTAGCATGAATGCACCTGTTATATTCAATGAAAATTAGCTTTTAATGAAAACTTAAGTCTAGAATAAGAGTGTTCTTTACCAAGGGAAGTAAAAATCGACAAACCAGCTTCCGTTTAAAGTTAAATCCTTAAAGTTTTGATCTGTAAGCTCAACAACGCCAGAATTATCAGATTCAGGGAAATTTAAGTGGTCTTTGATAAACTCAAGAACATAATGTATGTAAGTATCGTCTTCAGTGTAAGTTATAGCATTAATTTCATTGATCTTGAATAATTTAAGAACAAAACTTCCAAAAATATCTTCAACATGTTTTCCAACAATTCCATTATCAACACAAGTTTGATTGTTTTCTTCACAGTCAACAGAAGCAATTTTTAAGTTTGTGTTGCTTCCCACATTATAGATTTCTGACAGTAAATTAACTGTATGTAGCATTTCATCTGATATTTCAATCCTGAAAGAAAAATTAAGATCTTTAACCTCTGGAGACTCAGCATAGATTCACTTACTTTGGCCAGTAGAACATTACTAAATAGTTGTCATTCTTTAAAGCTTCTGTGAAATTTTGATCTGTTAGGTCTATTGGAGATGCTATATATTTGAACTCTTCTACTTCCGATTCATGTGAAGTCACACAGCTGTAAAGCTTGAAGTTTAATATCGTTATCAAAATCGAAACTGCTAAAGCTGTCTTCATGCTGAATTATTAAATTTAAATACAAATTTCTCGTGCTGATTATTAGTATTACTTTACAATTTCAACTTGAATTAACCCTTTTAGCTGCTGATAAGCTTATCACTCGTAAACGACTTAAATTATACTATAGCTTGATATTTTAATCAAATGCTTTTATACTTGCTGAGTTATAATTTGTTTTTTATTTAATTTAAGTATTTCTGATTGACTGATTTACTAATTGGACTTGATAACATGCATTTTGCAATTTTAAATTCAGAAGATATTGAAATTTGATCAACAGCTTAATCGAAATGGAGACATCCAAAAGTCTACAAGTTCTGGATATAAACAAGAAATCTAATTCTGATTTATGGATTTCTGCTGTCAAATTAAACTTTAAAGGCTGATTATGATGAGTCAAAATTCCATCAAAATGCAGACTGTAAAGTTGACGAACTTAATATGATTAAAATTGATTTTGGTGACGATTTCTCTAATAGCTATGCATAAGAATTTAAGCTTACTCATAATTGAATGCCGTACATAATTTAAGCATCTGTATTTATACCCAAAGTCAAAGGTCCTAATAGTCGAACACTTAAACAAATTTTGTCTAATCAATTTTTTAAGTTATACAGCAAGCATTAGCAAAACAAGCTTACAATATACTGCATGTATAGTACTACAAGATTTTGCTTCAGTTTTGTCGTAAGTTGAATCACACAAGTGCATATAAATAAGTCTTGCATCCATCTACTCAAGTTTAGTTTATCTTATAGAATCAGAACGGGAACATTAGCTTTCAATAAGTTGCTGCTTACGAAATGGCAAAAATTTTGAAAGAGTTTTTAGAAGAGTCAATAGTGATTTTTTGGATGTAAGTAGAGTTTTCATTTGATTTCTGTCACTAGAGATTCGAAAACTTGAGTGATTCAGTCGGATGAAAAATGGAAGTAAACAGTGTAGAATTTCCACGAATTGAATGTGATAAATTGAAAGATTCTTAATCAAATTAATTAATCAACTACGTCACTTTGAGTACGGGAATCTCAAGAAACAAAGTCTTGTAAATCAACTAAATGATCAAAACAATGTATATCCACTTGTGACTCTTGATTGAATCAAAATTTCCACGGTTAGAAGTTTGTAAACAGATTCTAAAATGATCAGTTTTATAAAATCCAATGCTGTAATTATTGCACAAGATCTTTTCTTGCGTCAAATGTTATAAAAATCACGTACCTAACCAATTAAACTATATTCTTTACAGAATTTCCTTAGTGTCATGCCAATTAAGCTCATTTCCTGAAGATTTTAAGTGGGGAGTCGGTACATCAAGGTAAGCAAAACTGAAGCTTTTCCCTTGTGTGTATTTCCCAAATTTCTATCCAATTATAATCACCTTTCAAGCTATCAAATTGAAGGTGGCTGGAATGCTGATGGAAAAGGGGAATCAATTTGGGATCATTTAACTCACACCCAGTCAGAAAAGATTGTAGACCAGAGTAATGGTGACGTCTCGACGCATAGTTATAAGCATGTAAGAATAAATTAGAGTTGCATCACCTTTATGAAAATTATATGTGTAATTAAGTAGCATCGATCTATTGTTTTAAAATTAGAAATTTTAATGTCAGATAATTTGAAATTCATAAATCATTTAACAGCATCAGATGTGCATTTTTTGCTATGAATCTCTAGACATCTGTCATTAAAGTATAATTTCAGTTATTTTTTAATGTTCGATAAATTTTATAAATGCTCATTGCTACCGAGAAGCACATAGTAAAGAGAATCTACGGCGAAGTAGATTGATCTTAATCTTTTGATCCTACAAAATGATCGCGAGAATGAGGCACAGCAATGAATTTAAATAATTCGGGCTAGTACTCCTTATAGTAGCTGTTTCAGCATGTTTCTCGGTATATCGGCATCAACAAAAATGTTGATTAATAAAAATTACCTGTTAACAAGTCAGTTGTTAATTTTATTATGATCTCGTTAGTGATCAAGCTTTCATATGAGTATCAGCACTCAATCGATCAATCGCCGTATTTATCTAACACTTAATATTTTTAAGCGAATTATCTGAATGAAAATCAAGCGATTGCACCGAATTAACATTTCATTAAACATTTCATTTTTAAGCCTTACTAGAAATACTCAACATGCCATTTTATTGCTCATAATTTTCTAGTGGAAACGTGATATAGAATTAGTTCGAGAATTAGGTGTTGACATTTATCGATTTTCAATCTCATGGCCAAGAATATTACCAAATGGATATAAAAATTACATCAACATAGCTGGGATCGAGTACTATAATAATATCATTAATGGTAATTCAAGCACACATGATCATGGCATGGCTTAATATCCATAAATTCCTATTGAAATATTTTAGAGCTGCTTGCATACAATATAACCCCGATGATTACTATTTATCATTGGGAATTGCCACAGAAACTTCAAGACGGACTCGGTGGATGGACAAATCCTGAGATAATTGATGTCTATGCTGATTACGCGAAAATTTTATTTGAGCAGTTTGGTGATCGAGTCAAGATGTGGACGACATTTAATGAACGTTAGTAGAACTTTTTACGATTTTTATTGTAGTTTAATTCTTAATTCTTACTCCATACTGCTTATCTATGCAGCACATAGAAACATTCATTTCCTAGCAATAAATCAAGCACTTTTAAATGCTCCCGTCATATCATTAGCAATAAATAATATTGACATTTTTTATTTTCATTCACAGCTTGGCATATCTGTGAACAGTCGTACGGACAAGACTACATGGCGCCATCCTTTGATATTCCGGGAATTCCTTCTTATTTATGTGGCCATAATTTGCTGAAAGCACATGCTAAAGTTTATCACATGTACAGGCATAAATTTAAACATCAGAAAGGTATGGCACTCGCTTTATGTTACAGTTCAAGTTCAATAAATGTGTTCTTAAAGGCTGTGCTGTGAATAAAACATTAAATTTACAGCAATGCCTTAATTAAACAGGTTGTGAAAAATATAATTTTATTTCATTAGCCAATATTCTTCCTTGAAGTCATTATTGAGTCATGTTTTGAGTAGCCATCTGCTGTTTTTTTTTTCTAAAAATTGGATATCCTCAGTGCTTTGACACCATAAGAATTAACTCAACATCTAGACACCCAACTCAGCTTCCAGTTAACGCTAATGAAATAATTAATGATATTGTTTTCTTTTAATTATGTGATACAGGTACGATAGGTATAACTGCAGACATTATTACGCCTCATCCATTAAAGCATAATGCAAATGATTACGAAGCGGTCGAGAGAAGCTTTCAGTTTTATATTGGCTGGTTTATGCATCCAATTTACTCCAAAATAGGAAATTATCCAAAGATAATGATTGAACGAATTAAGGAACTGAGTCGTCAACAGGGTTTTTCAAAGTCTCGATTGCCGTCATTTACTGATCATGAAATAAAAATGATTCAGAATACGTCAGATTTCTTTGGAATTAATACGTATACGTCGTTCCTAGTTACACTTAATGATGATGATAAAAATCCAGCTAAATATCGTGTACCATCGTTTCCACATGACATGGGAATTATTGAGTCACAAGATATAAACTGGGAGAAAAGTGGATCGTCTTGGCTTAGAGTAAGTGATTTCTTATTACTTTGTCATGATTCATGCTGCAAACTCATTTGTTTAGATTCAAAAAGTGGGTCTGAAAATCATAATTTCTGATTTCCTCAAGCATGAATCACCTTTAAATGCTACAACTTTCAGCATAAATTTCATACACAATAAATCACAAATAATAATCTTCTGTTACATAAAAATACAGGTACATCCACAAGGAATACGCCACATGTTAAATTGGATACGAAAAGAATATGACAATCCCGTCGTTTACATAACAGAGAATGGTGTGAGCGATAAAGGAGGATTGAATGACGTAAAACGTGTCGAGTATTTCAATTCATATTTAACATCTATTTTAAACGCAATAAATGATGGATGTAATGTCAGAGGCTATATTGCGTGGAGTTTAATGGATTCTTATGAATGGAAAGCTGGATATTCTGAAAAATTTGGTCTTTATCATGTACGATGATTTAGCTCATTTTATGAATTTCTGCTTACTTAAATATATTTAAAATTTTAGGTCAATTTTGAATCACCTGACAAAACCAGAACACCGAAAATGTCAGCAAAAGTGTACAAAAATATTGTAAAGACGCATGAAATTGATTCTAATTACATGCCGTATATTGATGACAAATCAGGAGCTACGTCACTTAAATTGTCAATTCCATCAACGAGTATTTTAATCATTTTAAATGCTTTGAATGCTGTCATGAGGTAAAATCGTCAATTGACTTTTATTTGTATACATTGTTGCAATGCTTGATATTGTCACATTTTATAAATGCAATAAAATTTGCGTCTGAAGGACATAGGGAACACAAAATCGTTAACTTTCGTTAATTTTATCAAAATCGATTATAATTTTTTTATGATTTGGTACAAATTGTCGGTATTTGATGCCTGCTGCATCTAAAAGTCTCTTTGAGGCAACTGTATGTGGTTTTTCAGCATGCTTGTCAGAACAAAAAACCACTTCCTTAATTCGTGATTGAATTATAATTTTTGAGCACTCGTTACATGGAAATAAGGCAACATATAAGGTACAGCCTTTGACATCGATACTATTTTTGTTGAGAATTGCGTTAACTTCAGCATGACATACATACATGTACTTATTTTTTAGTGGATCATCAGAATTCTTTGACCAAGGAAAAGTGTCATCGCTGCATTTTATGGGCAATCCATTGTATCCAATTGCTACAATTTTTTTGTCGTCGTCAACAATGCATGCACCAACTTGAGTCGCTGGATCTTTACTTCTTTGTGCTGCCAAGAATGCAATCCCCATAAAATATTCTTCCCACTCTGTGAATTTAATTGAGAATTTCTAGAAAATGTAAGCTTTATTGACAAATATGTTAGGTACCTAAGTAATCCTTCCTTTTAGCACTCTCGTCTTCATCGTAGAACTTTATTTTAGATATTTTCATTATCTCGTCAACTGATTCGTTCGTATTTTCTGTCATTTTGAATTAATTGAACTAAAATAACTTTTATCGGTATTTTATAAACAATCACTGGATTTGATGGATATTGACTGGAAGATTGGAATATTCCAATGAAATTTCTTGAATTTTCAAAAACCGTTATGAAAATTTAGATAAAATGTGATGATGAGCTGTTAATAATGCGAAATAAGTTTTTCAAATGAATGGAATCAAACAAAAACCAAGAAAATCGATTTAAACTTTGTAGTTGCTAGATGCCTAAGTTTCAAAAAACTTTCTTAAATCATACCTGAAAAGTTGATTAAGTAAACTCCTGAAAATCACAAAACTATTGCTGGAAAAAATGCCGAATAAACAAAATTTACTAGAAACAAACTGAATCCGTCTGAAAAATCTCGAGTAAGCATGAAAAAGCAGCAATTTTTCTGGTTTTTCTTCTCTTTTTTGTAGGATTTTCTCAGTTCACAAAACTTTATTTCTCTTTTTTTTCTTACTGGATGTACTTTAAAGTTCTTTTTGTGTTATATTTTCTCTGTATTCATTCTTTAAAACTTTATTCATTTTTTTTTTGTTCTGGATGTGATTTTTTTTTTGTTTCATATACTCTTCAATTAATCATATTAATCTCTATTGAAGATGGAAATGGAACTATGTGAATTTGTAAATGTGTGATATATTTATTAAGTGCAATAGGATTTTCAAAGTGAAAACGGTTGAGGGAAGGGAAAATTGAATGAAAATGGTTTTATGTTTTTGTTTGAGATTTTAATAGGGATTTATGATGGTAGAAACAGTCAATCTCTCAAGATATTTATGTGTAATACATTATGGCTGTAATATTATCAATTTGTCATAATAGACATAAATGACACATTTATATATTTTTTTGAAACAATAAGAAACGAATCAGCAGCGACTGTAAAAATCATCAATTTTTGTTCTTAAATATTTATCGTAAAACTTTATGCAGCTCTTTCTTTTCCAAAAATTTTTCTATATTTTTTTTTGTTATTTTTTCACATTATTATTATTTTATCATAACAAAGGTCAAGGTTAATATACCTTAAGTGCTCTTAAAATGGTGATGGCTTCTCGGAGCATGTTTGCTCCGTAAAAAGCTTTGGCATATTTTACCTTGAGAAAAAAAAATGTCTAATAATAATGATAATGGTGATAATGAAACATAAAACATCACATGAATAGTTTTGTCAGTGCAATATTCTCTTGATTCATTAACCCAAGCGAATTAGTTCTTTAAAGTTGTCACGTGACTGTTGCAATTTGGTTGTGTGATATTCAATTGTTGCAAATTTAATACAATTTTCGACCCTGCTGCGTGACAGTCACACAACAGTGTCACAATCATGTGACAGTCGAAATTGAACAAACTTTTATGTTTCTGTCACGTGTCTAAAGACTAGCATCGCTTGAGAATGAGTTAATTTGTGTGAATTGCAGAACTAAGGCAGAAACGAAAAACTAAAAAGCTCTATATTCTGAACTTTAATTGAACAATTATGCTTAAAGTTTCAATAATTTTTCTTGCAATAATAATTTTTATTTATAATCTCATTATGTAACCTTATGATTTGATTTATTTATGTTCATTAGTTCTTTGTAAATCTTCTTCTTCTTGGGGGAGATAGATAAAAGTTAATTATATTATATAATTTATTTCTTTATAAAATTTTTAATACACATGCATAACATTATGATGTCTTAGCTTTTTTTCCATTTCTTTTTTAAAAGGTTAGGATAAAATTCGAAATTTTTCATTCTGTCATTAGCCTCATCAATAAATCTGAATAATTAATAATGATCTCAATTGAAAATAGATTTTTTTTTATTTCATTTATTTTCAACATTTTTTTTCACATTTCTTCATTTTTTATTTTCTTTGTAAAAAATAGTCTCCGAATTGCCATTCAAAGTACATTTCCTTGCCATAAGATTATTTTTTAATGTTAAAAACTTTCGCAATCTGAATCATTTGATAAGTTTTTTGTGTTTTGTTTTATCTTATTTTTTTTTATGGCAAAAATATTATAGTAATGGTACTTAGATAAGTGTACTGATGTGCAATTCGTGACTTGCTAGCTGCCTGTTAAAGGTTCTGATAAAAAGCTCATTGCTACGTGCTTCAGAGTATACGTATATACTCATTTTCATCGAGGCAAATCGCTCTAATTTTCTTATTTTTTTGTGAAATTAATAATCAAAGCTTTGTTGCTCTTGGCTGTCGAGATTTCGAGTTTACTAGTTGTGATGAAAAGTTTTTAAAGTTTCTGGAAATGCCTTTTTTTTTCATGTGTAAAATCGTCAATTTATTGAAATTCACTATTAATGCTCTGTAAAATTGGAAATCTGATGGAATTAATCTCCAAATCTCGAGAAGCACAACACAATAATCACAATAACATGTTTGCACATGACATTCTTGTGACAACACATGACAACCAAGTGTAAGAGGCACATGACAGATGCAATAATGTATATTACCATTTTTGTGTTGCGTAGCTCTACTGTAAATCCGAAATCATCAAAACTTCGCCACAGGAAGCATCTCAGCTTTGACAGAATAACGTACAAACAATTATTGGATATAAAAAGATGATAAATGATTGCGCATATAATTTATTTCACATGTCCCAAAGAGAGAGATAAAAATTCAAGTTTATTTTAACTTTTTCATGTTTTTTTTTTGTTAAATAAAGACAATCATATGACAATATGGCAAGATGCAGATAATTAAGCTGCTAAATGGCTGTTGCATATAGACACAAATTCAAATACATTGAAATAAAAATATATTTGTAAATACTCCATCTTTGCATCATCCATAATTAGTGTTATTTTATACTTTTTTGTGTGTAATATTTTTTTTAAAATTCTTATTATTATAGATTATGAATTTTTAATTCCATTTGTCCATTGTTCGAGCCATTATTAAATGTTTGTTATCATCATCATTAGTTTTTGAGAGAAAAGGTATTTTCTTGTGGGGCAGAAATTAAAGCTTATGAGACCAACTCTCATCAACCTTATTGTTGACTTTTGAATCTGTTAATTAAATGTTTAAAAATAACTTTTTTTTACTTCTCATATCCATTTCAGTCTCATAAAAAATTATCTAAATCAAATTTGTCTGTTTAAGAGCTTTTATGAAATTATTTATTTATATTTTTATGACCTCTGATAGTTTTAGAGCAGCAGCTCGATTTCATCATGCTCTTTTGCAGCGCTTTTAAAAATAATTATTTATTTTATAGAATTTATCTAAGATGTTCTCGTTATAAGGATGATCTAAGCTCCATACCTAGAGATTATTATCCTTTTTTTAAAGCTCATAGACTTCATGAGGTGTTGGAGCTTTAGATTAATCAGCAAATGTGATTTTCAAGCAGCAAAAGATCTTTTAAATTTCTTGATCTTTGAATTTTGAATATTTGATCATATTCATCTCGTCACGTTCAAAATGTCTCAAAATTCAAACTTGTGTAATTTTGTATGACAATTTTGACAAATTAACTTGATTAAGTTCGGTCATTAATCTTGAATTTTGTTTTAAAACAACTGAATAAAGATCTTAAATGTTCAGAAGATTACATCCACAACTTAACTATAAATTGTTGCACAATACCAGAACTTTAAGGTTTTCTCATTTCATCTCAAAGTGTCTTAAAAGAAATTACTTCTTTCTCCTCGCAATGAATGTTTGCTTAAAGCTTGCAAAGTTTTCTTTCTTTTTAATTTTAAGTGCAGAGCAAATAAAGCTAGAAGATCTAAATTGCCACCATTATTTCACTTGAAGCTGGTCTTCCTTGAGCGAGAACAATTTAATCTAAAATAAAAAACATTCCAACTTCCATAAACTTTTTTTTTTCAATTTAACTACTCAACATTTTCCATCTTAAAATAAATTCATTAGATATGAAAAAAATGTAGGAACAAGGAAAACTACAGTAAAATGAGCGTATTTCTTCGTTTATCTTTTCCATCAAGAAAAATATGTTTTTTTGTGCTAAAAAACTTTCCCAATCTGTGCAACTTGACAATGGCAATCTTATAGCTGTCACATAGCAATTACTTGATAAATATTGATACATGAATATGAAACAATGACTAATGCAAGTCAGCTACAATGGCAACTATAAGAACGACATTGTTATCATGTTAAGATCAGGTTAGTTCCATATTTATGTTTTAAAAAAATATAAAAAAAAACTTGTGCATATAAAAAGAGAAAATCTTCATTTTTATGTATAAGGAAATAAATCTCTGCTTCCACTGATATTAAGAAGAGATATAATAATTATCATGATTAATGTATACAATTCTTTATAATTTATGAAGCCATATTTCATTCTTTAAAGAATATACTTTTTTTTTGTTGACGGAGCAAAAAATCGTCATCATGTTCATGTCATTGTGAATGATTTGCTTTAAAAAAAATTATGAAAATTCACAATAATTCCATTATTAAATTTTTTTTTGATTGTGATTCATTTTGTATACAAATATAGAGAGAGATATAAAGAGAAAGAGAGAGGTACATGTGTGATTAAATATATATTTTTTCTTGTTCAATATGTGTGTATGTTTAATCATGTGTGTGTATGTGTGTGTATTTTTAAAAAATAAATATTTTAATTTTGTGTTTGCATCCCTGGTTTTAATCATCATTTATCATTTATGCATAATTAATAAAATAATGTATATTTATCGTCAGAAGCTCAAATGTCCTTCTCATTCCGATACAGACGTAGAGAGAGAATATATTTTTTTTTTGGTCAGGCACTGCAACATTGCAATCTGAACTACATTCAAGCTTGCGGGCTGGATAGACAAAAATGAATGTAATGATTAATTTGGAAATTGTCACAACCTGTTTTTGATAATTTGAGTATGTCTCTCATCCGAAATCATCTTGTAGAAGGTTACAACTTGAGTCCATCCGATTTTTAGTAAGTTCACATTCAATTACAATTTAAATTCCATTGTTCAATTGATTGAACAATCCTCAAAAATGGTATGATATATATTAATTTTATGATTCTTCATTCTTTTTTTTTTGTTGCAATATATAATGAATAAAATACTTGATGCCCTTATTAAGCTAGTTAAAGAATATTTTTTTGTGTCTCAGTTTTTTTTTTCTTATCGACTTTTCCATATTTCTCCAATATTATTCTCAAAATGTTTAAAAATGGGATAATAAGAATATATACTTTATATAATGTCATAATATAATGACTTCCTCAGCATTAAGCGAGGAGTATAAGATTAATACATACGTCAACTTACAGAGAGATGTTTTTTGTTTTTAATAATTTTAAATGCTGTTTCTTCCATTGTTCAATTGAATTTTTTTTTTGTTTGTTAAAGATGTTAAATGACTTTTTATGATGCTTGATGGTATCATTTAGGTGACTTTTATGTCTGGTATCAGTCATCATACCTTTCCATTTCTTTTTTTTATCATTTTTAAGCTGTTGTTGTTGTCTGTTGGTCATCAAAAAGGGATTTTTTTTTCTCATATTTTTTTAAGTTATAATATACTGGATAATATACACAAACATGTATGTATGCACAACATCAAAATTAAATTGACATAAATATTGATGCGATTTATTCTTCTTTCATTGTTTGTGTACTGTTGGTAATTCTTAACAATTTTTTTATTCCTCATCTTTTTTTTTTGAATTTTTTAATAATTTTTTTGAATAGGATACTTTAAGTCCAGAAATCAGGAGAAATAGAAAGAACTAAACTAAAAACTCACCACTCTAAATGCTTTTTTTTAATAATTTTTTCATTTTTGAGAAATGTTTTGTCCGCGACTTATTGACGGTACATAATAAGTTATGCTTAATGTAATTTATACATTTATTAATTTTTCATTAATTATTCATTATATTTAATTTTAATAATTAGATTAAGATTAAGTTTTTGTATTGGTTTCGCCTTATCCTTTTGTTTCGTTAGCCGGTTTGTCATCGTTTTTCTCATTTTGATTCTCTTGCTCTTTTGGGGATGCCTGCTGTTCTTTCTGTGGCTGTTGAGGTTTCTCTTTATCCATATCACGTTTCTCCGTACTCTGAGTTTGCGGGAGAGCTTTAAGGATTGCATGAACTTCCTCAGCGACTGCTGTAAGTACAAATTCAAATTGCTGTCGTGTCTCTACAAGGCCAGCTCGTTGATCTCGAAGATGTTCGAGCGTTGCAGCGATATCGATCTCTCGAGCACCTTTATTCATTCGTCCGAGAACGAGATCTAGAAGAATATATGCACCTGTTCGTCCAGCACCATTACTGTGGAATACAACATCATCAATATCCAACTACTGATTGAAAATTCTATCAAATTTACCTGCTATGAACTACAATCGGACATGATCTACCACGATAGGATTTATTGACTTTCCTCCTAAATTCTAAGAGAGCCTTTGCGGATAAAGGTACACCACTTTGTGGCCATGCTAGGAAGTGGAACTGCGTTACTGTTCGTGTTTCACCAGTTCGAAGATTTTTCAAATAGAATGATCTAACTAAGTATTCATCACACCACACATGCTCGGAAACAAGGTGCACTTCATAAATATGATACACTTCGGCACCTTCCTCGGGCCAATATCGTGCACAAGCACTCTCGCCGTTCTCTTGGAGACGACATAAGGCAACAAGAACAACACATCCTTGTTCCCAAACCATCTGCCAGAAATGAGCGAGAGTCGATTGAGATGGAGCTTGTGCTGCAATATATGCTGGGGCTCTTGGATCATGATCAGTCTGGAATTAAAAGAGATTAAATTAAGAATGTCATGGAATAAAAATAGAGGAAAATAATCCTTACAATTGTTGATGCATTAATGTAATCCATGCCCTCAGCATTAGCAAGATGATTAAGTACAACTCTAGAATGATCAAATGGAAGTGGTGCTCCAATTCGATTGAATGTTGAGCACTCTTCTTGAAGTGCAGCTTCTCGAGCACCGGGTTCAGCTTCATAACGACATAATGCTTCCCATTCTCGCTGTAATCGTCCTTTATTCCTTAAATGATCTTCCATATAAGATAAAACCATGTGTCCAGTAGATATATCCATATTTGATAGAGCCGGTTCTTCACTCCATGATGATGTACTCGAACGTGATGATGGTGTTTTCTCGTTCTCCTTTGATAGTGATGCTACACGAGCTGAAGATGTATCATTCTTACCTGCCATGCGTGCACGACATAGTTCTTGATAATCTTTACTCGTCGTTTCCGTTCCAGATAATCCAGCTTGAAGATTATTCAGCTTATCCTTTCTGTAGGAGAAACGGCGATATACAAGAAGGAGTAGCCCACATAGAGCAACAGCACATCCAAAGGCAAGCAGAATCATTAAATAAATTATTTTTGTCATATCAGTACCGTCGGCAATCTCCATTTTTGGAGTGTTACCATCATTTTCATAATCCTTTACTTTATCACCCACGCCTGCACGCAGTACCAATACACCCAAGCGACGAGATAAATTGTTTTTAAATCTGCTATCGTTGATGGATTTGGCAACATCAAGTGCTGTCTTCTTCTCAGGATTTGGTTCAACGCGGAATGATACTTCATGTCTATCGACACGTGTATGAGTGAAGAAGTTTTGAAGGTTTAACATTTCAGCAAGTGCTTGTACAATACGTGCACCATCTTTCCAGTCGTCAATTGAGTTCTTAAGTATGACATGAGCATATTCAGTATCAACTGAATAGTTTGCATGATCCAAATCGTTGTGCATTTGTTTCTTCATTTTAGGTAGTTCGTCCATTTTCATGTGAGCAGGTATCTGTTCCAAATTTCTATCATCCATTTTCGGTGGTTCATGAGGTGATTGCGATAATGGTGGGATTTGTGGTGGTATTGGACCAGGTTTCTTTACATCCAATCTTTCGTGTCGTTGGAATCCCATGATGCTTTGCAAGAGATTTGTTGTGGCATCATTTGATGGATTTGGGACATAGACAAGTCCACCTTCGGTATAAACTCCACCATCACCATTTGCGTCGTCACGGAAGTTGGCAAGCATGTCACGATGTGACAAATAAACTGTTGGTAAATCATTTGCTTCTGCTTCTTCTTCATCATAATCATATACCCGACGATGATGAGTGTTCTTACCATTGAAGAAGCTAGGCATAGCATCCTCGTCCATTTGATACCTTTGGATATTCCTCTCAGGTATATGTTCAGTTTTTGCAACTTCACGGAATGATGTAGATCTCGAATCCTCTGGTTCCAACTGCCTTTCTGCCTCTTGCACGTCCTCGAAAGCTTCTTCTTGCATTTCATTGAGCATTTCCTTGAGCTCTTCAGCTTTCATTAATTCCTCTTCACGTTCCTTAAAATGTGTGCCACTTTGACGACTGTCACGTTCAAAATATGGAGGCATTGGCCATTGCTGCTTTTCTAATTCACCATCTGGCATCATTTCATCGAAAATTGATTCGGGTTGATGGTTGTTCTCTTGCATTTTACGACCCTGTTGCTCATATTCAGCCATCATTCGATGTAATTCCATACGATTTTTAATATCGCTTATCCGATTTTGTAGGTCATTGGACTGCTCTTCCTCAAGTTCTGGATTGAACATTTCACGTACTCCCGATGATGACGATGATGGTTGTTGTAACATTAATTCGCGTTGAAGAAATTCATATTGGTCAGGTGATAGAGTTTCATCCACAGATGTACGTGAATGATGTCGCTGCTGTTGTTGTTGGCGACTTGGTATGGGGATTTGTTCGTATCTAGATTTGTGGATGGATGATTAAATGAGAAAAGTTATGTTTACTGAACTGTAAGGCTCTAATTGCTTTTTAAGGAGGTTCAATTGCTAGAAAAAATGTCCTAGTTTTGTTTTATTGATTTTGGATTAATTTGTTTTTAGATTATTGGCAAACACATCAACTTGACATTTTCTTCACCAATTAAACCCCTCTTATGCAGCATTAATCACGTACTCGTAAGATTTCTTCAAAGGCGGATAAAAGTATTCGTCAGCAAAATCGTTAATCGGTTGTGTGAAGCGAATGAATGCTAGAGGATTAGTTGGATCTAGAAATTTTGGCATTATTGGTGGTGGGGCAAGAGACACGCAAGCATCACGTTCCATATCAATTCTATTACGCATTGCAAAGATGGCATTCTGCATGCGACATTGAGTAAATGGATGATCCCAGTCGAGACCAGCAGCATGTAGTTCCTGCAGCATTTGTTTCAATATTGAAATTTGTTCTTGAGTTAATGGCTCACTGTTGGATGGAAAAGACATAAAATCAATTAAAATGGAATTAAGCGGAGATGACAGACATAATAAAAATCAATAAAGATTTAACAATTACCGTTCGAACTGCTGTGGATTCGTTTCATGATAAGGAAGACATTTTCCAAATGCATAATCTGAAGAGAAAATAAAAGTACAAAAATTATTCAACAGGTTATTATTTATTTAGAGAATGGGAACATCTTATGCTCAATTCCTTCATCATAAATTGGGTTCTTGTAAGAATTCAAGTGACTTGTTTTCATGAGATTCAAAAGAAGTAAGTAAATCTATATAACGCCTCCAGCACAAGAGCCATTCAACTGCCTCTGCTTTTTAAGCACATCAATAATTCGTATATTTTGAAAACGAACATCCACTGAGGCTATTTAAAGTAAAATTGTCGTTTTTAAAGAGAATAAATTGTTAAATGTCATGAGATGTAGGGTTTGAAGTAATTTTGTCAAATTTTAGGCTGCTAGGTCTTATATTTCGTTAAATAATCTATTTTTATGATCTTAGACAAAAATAAGAGGTTTTTAAATAAAAAATGCATAATTGGACTGTTAATTTATTCAAGAAACATCCACACGAATAGCAAAAAACGGAAATGTCTCAGATGATCCCTAAATCTCACCTAAATTCTCATAAAACCTGAACATCCAATATAAAAAAGGTGATACTAGAAAAATTAATTCAATAACACGATTTTTACGGAAAATATAAAATAAAATTAAATGCACAAAGAAACCAGCTATCAAGAGTTTATTCTCTAGCATGAGTTATGCTGCATTAGACCAAATGTTTGCGTAGATTAAATACAGATGAATCTGATTTTCCCTTCCTGTGTTTTCTATTCTATAGAAGTTTTTGTAAGCTCCACATTTAATTGATTTATGATAAACTTACCATCAAAGCACCATTCTAAATGCGGAATACAAAGTTGCTCGGCAAACAAGCAGCCTGGAATGGAATAAAAAAATCATGCTTTATAAAAAATTGTAAATTTATTCTAAGAATATTAAACGTAGATTGTGTCAAGCTTCAGGCAATAGCGTGGGATTGAATACTTTCTACTGTTCTTGTTCATTCTTTAAATCTGATAAAACTCATGATTGAACATGTGTATACAATATATAAAGTTGACGAAGCCAATCTTAGATACGACTTTCCATCTTAGCAATTTACATAATTACAATTAATAACATTTATTTACAGCTATAAAGCATTCATGTAGGAAGAAATCGAAAAAGATTTCTTTTGAAATAAAATTTGAAAGGAAAACTCTCTTCCTTGAATGAGTTTTAATGAAGTTTTCAAAAGAATTTATTCTGCCAAGTTCATTAGAATATGAAGAACAACAATTTTTTAAGAAGATTGGGTGGATGTAGTTAAGTAAATAGATTTAATTTAGATAAAATGTAATCGAATCCATTCAAAATTTTAATTAAATGGCAATTTAGATTAAAAATCAGTTACATGGATACAAAAGTTATTGCACAATCTTAAAGTTAACATCAGTTTCGAAAGAAAATTGTCTTTTATGCTGTAGTTCAGTCAGCTTATCACACATGAAAAAATAAATATTAACTCAATAATTTCGAGAAAGTTCACAATCACAGTTTGATTAATTAATTCTTAATTATGTACAATCTTTACAAATTACCAACCTTCAAACTAATGACTACATTTTAAGGCACATATTACTCATTAGCTTGAAAATTACATAACAACAACAAAATAAGCAATTAAGAAAGTAATGTAATTACTTTAAAAATTGAAAAGGATCAATACTTTCAGAATTTAATTGGCTTGTCAAAAATTCCAATTTCATTGTACTGTCAACAATTTGTTATGGGCGTATTAATCCATCGGAAAATTTTGAATCGATGATGAACATTTTTTTACAGATGTCAGCATTCGTTCTGAATTTCAATCAAATTATCAGATTCAGTCCCACTCACGTAGCGTAATTGGATGAATATTCTGTATATGTATTGCCCAGAACGATTCATTTATGACAAACAGAATTAAATTTTCACTTCGAATAATCAGCTTTTCCAGTTGAAATATTTGCATCCATACAATTTTCTTTTCCAAGTCAGAACTGTAGTAATTTTGTGAGTTTATCAAAGCACTTTTGAAGCTGTTCATGAATCTTTTTACAAGGATTTTCATACAGTTTATGCTTTTAAAACCAAATATAATCAAAAGATGGAACTCAAAAACTTTACTTTGTGTAATTTTAAATCCTTTTTCTCGTATTTACCTGCAATTGAAAAGGATATTCATTATGAAGCTGAGCTTTACTCAAGGTTTGTTGATATCCAAATTATATCATCTTTGAATTTTAACTTCCAATTAAAAATTATAAATTTTCCCTAAAAGTTCAAGTCGATTTCAAGCTTTGATGTGCAGTCCATACACAAATATTTGTACAATCATCACCTTCAAATACAATCTGCAACATTTTATGAAGCAATTAAACAAAATAGTTTAATGTGTAGGTTTTGTATAAAACGTCCATGACTTTATGTGTGGGATACGATTTTTCTATCTGCCATTAGATTCTCATACAACGAACAAACCTTGAGAAAAGTAAACAAAATAATTTTGACTCTGAAAGCTGTCTAGAGTGATGTTAGCAGAACGCAAGTGGGCGGAATCAAACATTTATGACTGAAAAAATTGTTAACTTTCAACGTGGAACCCAAAATCACTGATGAGATAAAATTTTCATGTCTTTAAGATCTATATTAAGCAAATCCAATATCGAATTTCTAGCATACCGAGCCTTATTTAACAGCATTATACATTTGAAGTTAAATTCCTTTCTTTGTTCTTCGTGCATTTTATCTCCTTTAAGTAAGATTGAAAATACACAAAAATCATAAGTTGGAACTATAAATAAATATTTCTAAAGATTCCATAAATAGCTTTTTCTTGAATTTCACAAAAACCACAAAGACGAAAATTTCATTGATGTAAAGAAGATTCAGAACAACACAAGACTTCTCTCTTAATCATCATAATTATTTTTAAAACTTTTCTTTGTATTTCTATAGCTGGAAACTTTTTTTGTCAAATTTTTCAGGCTTCTGATTGAAAATTGAGGAGAGAACGTTGGAGTTGTTCACTAGTGACGTCTATTTGCACAAGCATCTAGGATATTTGCCACAAATCACAAACATTCAGTCTATGACTTTTGTAAATAAGATTTAATTCTGTTCCTTTCAATCAAAAAAGAAAGAAAACTTGTTACGCAACGTTTAAAAGCTCCAATGAATTTATCTTCTTGTTTTCACTACAGAATTTTTTTTCCAAGATTTGTGATGATAAATGGTTAGTCTAAATTGTTCTGTTTATTTATGTGAAATGTTGTGGAATTTCCAAAATATGCAAATTGTTTTATGGTCTTTAAATGAATAGAAATGTTTCGTTGGGTTCAGAGAGAAAAATGCTGAATAAAGTAGACATTCTGGTGGTTGTAAACATTAAATATTGAATTATTCGGACTATTAGGTGCATGAATGTAATCAATCATAATTTATTTAATGCTGCTACCGAAAATATGATCTGTTATCTGATGCGGCGATGAGTGGGATTTTTTTCGCAGGCTTTCAAATTAAGAAGAATGTAAGCATCAAGAAATTAATGTATTTAAAACATTTTCAGTGAAAGGGAATCTTCCCACATTTTAATACCAAATCTAATTTTTTAAGCATTCATTCTTACTCAACTGTTGTTTCCAAACTTTTTGTTTTCTATCCTTTAATTTCTTTTTAAAATTTTTAAAGCCTTCCTCAGTTCCATTATTCTTGAAGTTACAAATGTGCTGATTACAGAAGCTTTTCCCAAAGAACTTACTGAATTTCTTAAATTGATTTAATTTTTAAGCTTAATGTCACAAAAAATGTGTTTAATGATAAATTGATGGAAGCCATTACAGCACTTCCAGTTTAAGAGCTTTTTCGATTTGACTTTACTGCCAATTTTTATCTCTGTCAAATATTTATGAGCTGTTCGATATAAAATGTCAGTAATGAAAATTCAGAGAGTATTTTTGAATTTCCTCATAAAGTTTATCATGATTATGGAAACGATTATATCTACAAATGCTTGAATAGTAGTAAGAATCGTTGGTTAAACAAGCAGTTAAACCACAAAATGTGATTGCTTTCAATTCGTGATTTATCAGCAAATATTAATTGAGATAAATTGTTGAAACTTTATGTAGTCATTTACCTCGGAATGAGGTTACGTGAAACTACCATCCTCCCCTGTTCAACCGAAAAATGAATCTAGATCTAAAACGAAAAGCTTTAATGTATTGCTCAAAGTCATGAACGAAAAAGTGAAAAGAAAATTATTTATTTTTATAGTTCAATTAATCTTGAATTATTAATGCCTTAATGAATGTTTACATAGAACTTATATGTATATGGCTTAGTATTATTTATTATTGTTCTTATGTAGCTTGTTGCATGACCTTCACGTATCGTTTTTAATTCAGTATTCCATTCATATACATAACATTTATTATTTTCATGCAATGTGTGCGTTTATGTACACAAATTATTGACAGTATTATGAAATTGATAAACGCCATTTTGAAAGCAGTATACTCAAGAGGGTAGTAAATTGATTGGATTTATTCGATGATAAGAACTTTTGCAATTTTTCGTGACATTTGCTTTATTTTTAGGTTTTATAAATCAATGACACACAAACTCAACCTCCTTTTCACAGTAATTCTATACAAATAATTTATTTCCGATTTATCAGCCTGTCGATCGTCCTTAAAACATATATCACATTATCAAAATTTTGTCATCAAAAAATAAGGAATGAAATTGACTTGTTGTCATATTTACTGTTACATGAAACATAAATTTACATAAATTTAACATATCACTGAATTTATTTCCTCTCATTCTCCTTTTAATGGAAAGTTTTCTTATTCGTACGTGCATGTTGTCAAAATTCTCATATGTGATTTTCATACCGAAAAATTGCCTGATGAAATTATTCAGATATGATTGCGTATAGAATGTTAATGAAGATTTTCCTCAATGTGACGCATTTGGATGAATTTTCGGAGCTTTAGGTGTTAATTTTGAAACTTAACTAGTCATTCGAAATGGCACAAAGACCTTCTGATAGCTCAAAAGTCCATTAAAAATCTACTTTGAAACCCCATGCAACTTGAAAAGTTATATGCTTTAAGGTTTAAGCATCAAATCTTAATCTTAAATAGCTTTACATCCAATTTCTCGGTTTGATTCGAAATTGCTTATTTATTCAGTCAGATTGAGTCAAAATGAATACCAAAATCCTTATAAAGAAGCATATTTTGCACATAAAGAAGAAAGGAATCAAGGACGTTCAAAGAAAATGGAAAGTAATAAAAATAAGAAGCACAAGTTGAAAATTGAATTTTTATTGAAAATAAAAAGCAAGAAGCACAACCAATATTTTCCATACAATAAAAGTTTGATATCCTACAACAATGTATTGTCAATTTCATAAAAGGATTCCAAAAAAAAGAAAAGTTTTCCTTTCAATCAGACGTACCTAATAACAACGTGTACAATTTTCGAATCTATCGTTTACAGCAATTTTATTTTAATTCGTTTGTGAATCCAAAAGGAATTGATGCCCTTTCTTTAGTATTAAATGTCTGTGTTCAGTCGAACGTATATTTTAATTAAATGTTTGTACCTTTTTTCCTGTGAATCGAAAGGTTAAATCAATATGCTTTTCTTCTTTTTTACAGGCATTGTAAAGGTCTTGTAGGATGAAATTGAAATTAACTCGTTAATTATTTATTTTACATCATGCAACATGACAATAGCTTTCAAAAAAAATAATTGGGAATGCTTCAATTTTTATGCTTCAACCCAAGAAATATCAATTAAGCTCTCATTACGTTCAGGTTTGGCTTGAGATTGCAATTTAATTTAATGAGGGCTTCAACCTGCCAATTCACGTTTTAATTGAGATTAAAGTCATAATCCGCATCGACCACAATCATTTACCCGTACATTAGCTGTATTTTTAATTAAAATTTTTCCATTATTTCTTGATGGGTTGCTTAAAAAGTTCTTATTTCTATTGCAGCAAGTGCTTATAACGTGAAATTATAGAATCTGAAAGATAAGCTATTACAAGACATCTGTACTATGTTTATTTTTAGCAAATATGATCTTACGTGGGTAGAATGGCTCAAGTTTCCTAGGAAAATTATTATTGGATATTCTCATAAATAGTACATTGTTTTCTATTCTCAGATGTAAGAACAAAAAGTCTACTCAAATTCAACGCAATAAATTATGTTTTGGAAGTCCAAATAATATTTATTGTTTAATAATTAATAGAGCATTTCACACCTTAATTAATATGAACTTTGTATGTATACAGGTAAAATTTATCCGTTATTGTACATAAATCGCATATGAAAACTAAGCTTTCGATCATGAACGTCCATTAAAGTTCATTAAGATTAAGGATATGAAGAAAAATGTTCATTAAAATGTACAATGTAGTTTTTAGAACTTACTGTTGTTGTTATAATATAGCGAACGTTTAAGTTACGTGATGAAAAGGGCAGAAAGTTCTACAACAAGTAGATGGTTGAGTTAACACATCTACCACGCCCATTAAGGAAAAAATATATACACACATGAGTTTAGTTTAAGTTCGAACTAAATATGAACTTAATTTTCAATGTTGTGTCGCTTCCATTTGACCGTGACATGAATTTTATTTCTAGAATTCCATTCAGAACTCGTCGAGCGATAAAGCTTCATCAAATACCATGGGAGATGAACATTACAACACGTTTAATTGCCTTAATGCCTCGAAACTAATTACGTTACTTAATTTAATTCAATTTTTACTCACCAATATTTTCCTGACCCACAACAATGCTCAGATGATCGTGAATGATGGATGTTAAGAAACTACTAAACAGCAATGCCTTCCACAATTTCATCCATTTGTCAATATTTGACATGACGGTGTTATGATGATTTAATAAAATTGATGGGGTTTGTCTGCTATTGTTACTATTGTTGTTGATGTATGGTGGCCGTAACTATATTGCAATCATATGACACCACAGGATTTTTGTGTTGTTGATTAATTATAGTTCATTAGATGTCATTATCCATGCAAACATGAAAAGAAGGAAAATTCATAGGAAAAATTTTAATAAATAATTCAACAAGCTGGTCTACAATAGTTCTAAAAATAAATTCATTGTCTAGGATACAAAAGCTTGTGTTAATCCGAACGAGCTTTATAGAATTTTAATGAAAATTTCCAAATATTGTTATAATTTTTTTACGGTTAATACAAATAGCTTCAAGCTGTTACATACAAAAATATGGAATTAAAATTTGAGTTCCTTGTAATTCGAGATACGAGGTGTGTCAGTTTTCACCCACATCAAAAGGGAATTTATTCATACACAAACATGTTTTTATTATTTTCCATTGAAGCTACTTGAATTTCACATTTGATTGGTTGACGTATTCTGAGGATTTAAGAAGGATCGTTCATTTATGAATGCAGTTTAATTGTTTTGCTTAAAGCTGTATCTTATACAGTGAAATTTGTTTGCTTTATGGAATTAAAAATGTCTTCTCTAAAAAATGAAGAGATTTCGATGGTAAAATCATGTTGACGACAGAAAAAGCTTCAACTTGATTGCTACTTGACATTTACGTGTCTTTCGTTTCGATCTGCTAAAATGTTTCGATAAAATCTCATGAAAAATGTCAGTAAAACAGAAGACATCATCAGTTTTCCTTGCAAACAAGAAATAACATCCTTTGCATGACTTAATAAATGTACATGTTAATTTGAAAAGTTTAAGTCTTATGAGACTTTAATAATCCAAGTTTCTGATTAATGTTTAATAACCAAAATTTACAAAAAACCAAATTAATTTAATTCAGCATCAATTTTTCTTCCTTTTCATCATGACGGTCGGAAAATGTAAGAAATTGCTGCTAGGTGACGTCTACTAAGCCTTTGACAAACCTCATGGGGGGCTTTATTTATTATAAATGATGAGGGTAATTACACTAGGGAGTTGAGACTTTATGACATCAAATAAAATTAAATCTCATCCTAAACATGTTTAAAATAATGAATTTTTATGGAAAAAAGTTTTTAAATGAAAAGAAAAGTTCAGTTCTTAAACACGAAAAAGATTTAATGCCTGTCTGAGCTTCATATCAAATGAGGATGGAAATTTAATCCAAAATTTTTATAAGCTCCTTTTTTGCACTTGTATGCTGTCTAATACGAGAATGTGCAGGTTTTAAATGCATTTACAGATTAGAAATGAACTTTATTTTGGTTTTAAGAACTAAAATTAAATGTTCATAATCTTTTAAGTTTAAATTTTTAAAATTAACCATTGAACCGTGAATTTATAAGTTCAAAATCCAATGATCATCTTCAATCAAAGTAAAAGCTCATGAAAACAGCAAAGAATGGCTTTATCTCAATCTATTTTCCAAGAATTTCAAAAACAATATCTTTCATACTTAAAACTCAAACAAATCCATTTACAGAGCATTAACTATTGCGATATCATGTAAAAGACATTAATAGAATCAATTTACATCATATCCATAGAGAAAATAAATGTATGTATTCATTAATATGTAATGAGACAAAATAATGAATGATATTTGATACTAAAGCTGTATAATCGTCAAGCAGAGTTTGTAAACATCCAAGAATATCATTTTAATGACTCGTGATATAAAAAAAAACACATTTTGTTAAAGTAATTCCAGCAAACGAAAACAAGAAAATGTCATAATACAGAGTTGAAGGACATATGATGAGATAAAATATTTTTGTGTCTGGTATGGAATAAAAAAGCTTTCGAGAAAATTAATAACAAATAATGCGTCAAATGGAAAGGATGGAAGAAAGATGTATACGTAAAAAATGTCGTTTTATCATTCTTGAACCGTAAAGGCGTAAGAGAAGGAGTCAAGAAGAAGAAGATTTTGTTATTTTAAGACACTGAGTTTTTCACTTGAGTTGTTATATCTTCATACTTAAGCTTTAACAGGCGTAAATATTCCACTGAAAATTTATTGCGTACCTTTTTATTCTGAAATATTTGGTATTTTATGCTAGATTGCATGACTCACAGACAGTTGATGAGAGTAAGGAATCATAATGTAGCCATGTTTATGCTTTTGGACCTGCTTTTTTGATAAATTGCCGTAATCTTAATTTTATCACATTCGTCTTGAAGATGTTTATGAGTTGACATGCTAAAATTTTTGATAAATTTTTGGAATTTTTAAAACTGTAAGTAAGCTCAATACCATCTTGTATGCTTCCATGATATTCTAATTGCTGCTATAATTTATCCTCAGTATTTTTAATGTCATTGTATAATTTAAATAGCAGCAAAAAAAGCTTTTACTTAATGAAAATACAATATCTCTTTAAATCTGTCGTGTTTAATAATTCAAACCCTTTTTCCGTGTTTTATTCACTGCCTAAGGAGCACTCTGCTACACAATTAAATTTAGATTATGTGCAAATAATTTTCTTTCTTCATTCAATTTCGCTTTCAATTTGTTATTTTGCTGATGAGACTTGCGTCATTCATTATCTTAGCAACGAATTTAGGATCCTTACAAAAGAATCTGCACAGTAAATTGAGAAAATAATCATGAACATTATTTAATCAAGTGGAAAACTCATTTTGACGTAATCATTAATTTGATTTTTTTTTTGAACTCTTAAAAAATTATAATCGATAATGTAGTTAAAAATAAAAAAAATTTGATAATGTCAAAATGTCAAAAGTCGTAGCCTGTGATTCGAAAACGTGCGCATTATAATTCATGAACTGATTGAAAGATCCAAGTTTAATTAAAATTTGAATAATAAATGAAAAAGCAATTTACAAAATCAATGCAAGGAAAGTATTCATGAAATTAGGATTCAAAATTAGATTTGAGTTAATCTTTCGATGGTATTTGGGTCTTTTGCCTGTAAATAAATCATAAAATATGAGTCCTGAACTTAAAACTATTGTCTGATACGTTCAACTCATGTTCGACAGACTTATCGAAAGTCTAGGGGTGTTTTAATATGCACGTTCGAAAAATTTAAATTTGAAAAACCGTTACAATTTTTGGTCATTTTATTCAAGTTTTTGATAGTTTTGAAAACAGATTTAGCTATATTATGCTTATTATCAAATGATAAAATAACATTTTCATCTAAAATTCTCGAAAAAATTGCTTGATTTAAGTTTTCATTTTTTACTAATATTCGAAAATTTCGAACTGCAGGGTATGAAACTTCGAATTTTGCATGACAGACAGACAAATAAGACATTTTTACAAGTGTTCTTGGAAACTGTAACGGTCGAAACTCTTGAATTGTTCGTATCAGACTATTGTCTCATCCTCCAACAACAATATGAATCTTATATTGTGCACTTTGTTGCCTTTTAAAAGGGATTACATGATTGCTCATTTTAAAAGCTTCTCTAATGTTTGAGAAGCTTAAATGAGTAAAACTATAGTATGTTAAAAATAGAATCAAGCTCTATCGGAATGACTGTTTGTTTTTCTTCATGCACAGCCCACACACAAACAACGTCTTATAGTTAAAACTTTCATTTATAGCTTTCATTCGTTTTAGTGTGTACGCGAGTGTGCTTGAACTTAAGCAATAACATTGTGTGGAACTATGAGAAGCACAAATCAGTGATACAAAAAAAAAGGGAAATGAAAATAAAATGAAACTCGTGACGAGGAAAGAAGAAGCAAAGGAAAGCCAACGTCACTAACAGTATCGTGAAACAATATGGATATAAAATGTGGATTAAAAGCACACAGAGAACGAACAACGTTGTCAACCTTATTAATAGGATTAGCTTTATTAGTAGACAATAATTACGAATATGATTGACAATAATTTCTTGTTTTGTGCCTTTTGTTGAATTGCAGGTAATGTTTTCCTAAGATTAAAATTAAATGGAATTACAACGTTTGATAAGCACAGACTCAATATTTTTGTAGATTTCTTTATGTCTACCAGACAAAAGAAATAACAAAAGACTTCTAACCAGTCTTAATAAATAATTTGAATCTGCATCAAAAATAAACACTGAACTAATTGATTTTATTAAGAAAAGTTCCTGTTAATAAAAAATTCATTCAAAGTTCATCATAAGAATAAGAAAGTCCCAGATCTCGATTCAATACTTCGTTACAATTTAGCTGCTATTCGAATAAATTATAAATGAATGGAATGAGAAAATTCGGGGAAATTTTTTCTTTTACATTCAACGTAAAATATCTTAAGTTACATCTTTATACATTCTCTTTATAATGTTTCTACTTCCAACGCCTCATTAAGAATTTATTGTCAAATTTCAGAGCCAGTAAATCACCTTTCAGCATAAAGTTCATCTTTCATACTCTTCGCAATGTAATTCAACCCTCAAGCGTTCGATTTCATTTAACAATTTCTAGATATGTGTAGAAACAAAGCATCATATAAATCTTAGATATAATGTATGTGCGTACACGAATTTTTTAATTCTGGGTGCGTCTTTCATAGACCTCCATTTGTTTAATTTTTTAAGACACCCACAGCAAGCACATTGTGAATGCTTTTTTAAAAACATAAATAAATCAATATTATGGTCATTTAAAAAGTCAGCAATTTCGCATGATTCTAAAAATAGCTCCGTAATCGAAAAAGTTTTCTCTCAATTGCTCATTTTTCGTACAAAAAGCTTTTTGGCTCTTATCATATTTACGCAGTATACATGATATATATTTATGAACGAGTTTTACATTTTAAGAACAAGTGACAGACACACAACGAGGAATTCGTTCCATTTTCTTATTATTTTATGGTAAGTAAATAGAGCTAAAAATATTCTTAACGCCTACGGATTTCTGTAATAAAAAGCATAAAGAGCTAAAAGTTTAGAAAGCTTTTCGCACACATTCACACTCACACACATCTGATGATGATGGTGGAACAAGCACAAAACACACAAAATGTTACGAAACGAAAAAAAAAAGGAAAAAAGGCTCACTGAATATTCCAAAAATATTCTCTCTTGACTGCTGACGTCATAGAAATCTAGAAATATCGTACATCCCATAAGGAAAGAAAAAGATGGAAAATGAAGAGGAAATAAGATATTCAAATCACATGAAATGAAATTCGTTGGTGCTGTAAAGGTGGAAAATGTATATTCGTGTAGATGTTAAGGTAAAGATTATTATTATATAAATAACATATTTATTTTAAATGTAAATGTGAAGTCTGTCATTTGCAAGTGAAGTGTCATGCTTAACACAATTTTTGAAAAATATATCTGCTTCACGCAATTTATTGACAGCGGAAAATTGGAATGAACAACTTTTAATTGAATTTTCTTGCTTTTTGTTGTCAAGAGAATTTGTATTTGCTTCAAGGCTTTATAAGAATTTTTAAGAAATGATTGGAAAAGCATGATGAGTTTATAGATTTTGATGTTCAAGAGTTTGATGATTTATTGTTCCTTTGTGCTTAGATTGAGCTTTTTTATATGTTAAATTGGTTTCCAATTCAAATTCTTAATAAAGTACAAAAACCGCATCAACTGCCACAAAATGGAATATCAAGATGGCTTAGCATAGCTCTACACAAGTGATAAACCCAAAAACATATCCAACAGTTTTTGTTTTTACTACTTCGCATCTTTATGTCTCAACAATTTTACGCACAAGCTCCATACTAAATGTTTTTATGATTTTTGTAAATATCTATTGTAAATAATATAAGGGTTATATACATGCAAATTTTATTTACCAGTTCAAGCTTGGATATACGATTGTTTAAGGATTTTCTTTATGTCAAAACTTTAAGTTGAAGGATTTCATGTTTATGTTCCAATATATTTTTTTATTGAACTTGAATGCAATTTAATTTAAACAATTTTGATTCCTTTACAACTTTAGTCAATACTGAGTTAGGTTCTGACAGCAGAACCTCCAACTAAACCTGTTATCTTCTTAAAAAATCACAAATTTTCAGTAGAGGAAGGAATTTATACAATTTTAATGGTTAGAAGGAACCGCAACATTGACATACTTATTAGTAATAATTTCGTAAAGTGACAGTCTGGTAACAAACTTTTTACAATTATTTGATTGATGCTGCCCTGACATATGGTTTGTGAAATAGCAAATGTTAAAAGTTGTTCATGAGTTTATGAAAATAATGTTGCATAGACCAAGATTTATTCCAGTTATATAACTTATTGCTAGGATGCAAGTATGTAGCTAGACAATTATGTAGTATGATTAAAGTTGATTTTGTTGAGAATTAAAAATAATAATTGAGAATTTTAATATATTCTCAAAACTTCAAATTGATTTGACCCCAGTCCTGTCTTATTATTTTAAATTATTAAAAAAACACACTTATGGATGAAAAAATTCTGAATCAACTTTTATTTTTAAAAATGTCACAACAAGCATCAATGCTGAAAGATTTATCATTTGATTATTTTTTCTTCATTTTCTGATGTCGATAGCATATGAGAGTCATTTCTTAGAGATATCTACCCAGAAGGGTAAAGTTTTGCGTTTTGTGATAGACTGCTGTGAAGCATTAGATCTATTTATGTCTTTTCCTAGAAAATGTTGATTCAATGGTATCCTTGGCATTTTATGCTTGAGTTCATTTTTTATGATATTAAATTCTTGAAATTTAATAAAAATTATTTTGCAGACGGAATATTTTTTTAGTTTTCTACATAACTTGTAGATTCCCAGATGTTTCGATGATAAACGGTTCTGTTTATTAAATTAGTGACAGTGAAATTGATGGAACTCATACATAGATACTAGTATATAAGCAGTTTGATTTCTCGCAAATTTCTGTTGTTTTATACTCTCAGCTCTTATTCTCTTAATATTAAATCCCTCTGTTATGTTTTCATTATGAAACCTCAACAGTAGACTAAAATCTAAACCTCAGAAATTGAAACAACACACAAAAGTTCAAGTTACAGTCAAAATATTTTTCACGAACATGCAAATTTGAACAAACAACTTAAAACACTCTGTAATTTGTAAATTAACCACGAATATTTAAATGTCAAAGTAAATGAAAACAAGAGACTATTATCTTCGTCCACAAAAGGTTATTTCCATATACCCTTTATTTTTTTATAAATATTCATTTAAAAATATAAAGAATATTTTTAATTTCTTCATTAATTATTTAGAAACCCAAAACGAATGTTTGGATGTAAAGCTACCAAAAAAAAAAATCGAGGGACTGAAAAGTTTGATAAATTTTATGTACGACAATATGGAAGTAAAAATTGTATTTTTTTGAAATGATTGTATGGAAAAGTTTTGGGTTTAGTTTATAAATAGAAGTTTGACATTGTTTCGAGTGTTTTTGTGGAACTGAGAACCATTGCAGGTGGTTGAAATTGAATTTGCTTATATTTATGGGTTGTGCATTAATGACATCCATCAGAAATGAGTTTTTCAGACACACCCTATTATTCTGATCTGCAGAGTTTTCATACAAAAATGTCACAGACAATTCTAGACAACCTAAATATGGACTTTTGATATCAACATTTTCTATTAACAAAGGATATATATGTTGGAAAACCTGAATCTTAGTCTGGATATGGATACATCTAGTTCGAAGGGGAAATTAAAGCTAACAAACAAGTTTGGGTTTGAGGAAACATACTAAGTCTCCTCCTGTTCCTATTTGAATTTCTTTTTTGACTACGCCCTTGTCCATAATAAATTAAAAATTTTATCAATAAATCCTTCAAACTTTTCACTCGGATAAAACTCAAAAGAATTCCAAATAGAACAGAAGAAAGCAGTTCAGACAATTGAACATTCTTGTAGTTTTCAAAAAGAATAAAAAAAAATTCCACATATTTTACGCATTTTCTTTTTGCCATCAACAGGTCTCCCCCCATCACTTTTTCATTTTCACTTGAGCGTGCACGACAAAAACAAGCACAAGATGTGGAACCAAACTGACGCCATTTTTCCATCTGCATGTTCTTAAGAGGATTAAAATTCTATCAGGAACGTATTTTTATTATAAAATACCCTCAATAGTTTATAGATATGCTTGAAATATCACCTTGAACTATTCAATATTGAACCGTATGGTTAAAAAATGGGAGGAAATGAACTTTTTCACTAACATATGTTTATGAAATTTTCATGAAAATTCTAAATTTTTCATCATATACTCACCACTCTATGAATGTTCTGACCATATTAATCCCATTTTATTTCTTGGTTGATGTAATTCACAAGATTTTCGACAGCTTTCCTCAACTTTTTTACTTTTTAAAAAATATTTCCCGTCCAGATAAAAATTTCACTTTAACTTCTTTGAAATTGACTTCCTCGATTTTTCTCTTAAACTTTTTCTTTTATAACTTTTTGGTAGCCAGAAAAACGGGAAACTCAAAAAATGGTTGAAGAACTTAAAAAATTTTAAAACGGGAACTAAAGAACTGCAAATGAAAGTTGAAAGAAAAAAAAAATGTTTGAAAATAAAAGAAGAATTGACTGTAACTGCTTCTATGGTCCTCCAACGACCATATGTCAAGAGAAAATGTCTCTTGATATGGAAAAGTGAAAATCAGTCTTTTTATTCTTCTTCTTCTTTTCGTTTCTTCTTCTGCTTCCCCCTCCTCCTTCCTTCCTTCTTTCCTTGTCTAAATAATACGTATATGTATGCGCTTTCTCTATTACACTAAAATTTGTCGATATATTTTTGCTTGAGTGAGATACAACCGTCTCCGAATAGACTACGACACAGAATGTCAGAGAAGTTAACGCACTGCCCTTTTTCCCTTTTGGATATTCTTTTTTTTTCATCATGCAAAAAAACACGATGTGAAATGATAGTAAGCAAGAGCAACCAGCAGCACCAGCGCAAATACAAGTGTGAAAAATTTCTCTTTTGCCCCACAACAAAAGTTTTGCCAATTTCAGGGCAACAAATGTTGTTGCTTACATATGCATAATAATTATTATTGTTATTCTTTTTGTTGCCAAAAACACAACAGAAAATGACAATTATTCACCCAAGAAGGACAACCTTTATGAAAATTTACTAAAGTCTATGGATGAAGGAATGAGAAGCAGAGAAATAAGTAACACAAAAAAAATATTTAGCAGTCACTCACTCGAATTACACTCACTCGAAAAGCGTCTCGTCGAAGACTGAAAAATGATGGCTGAGAACAGTCCACAGAAGAAAGACTTTTTCTGTTTTTTTTTTCAGGAGATGCGCATTACCCATACAATCATGTTCGTAGATCCGCTCAATTTTCTCTCTTTTTCCTTCTCATTTCTTGTCACGAATGCACATTTGTGTGTTTTGCTGGATGAAATTGATAGAATTCGCGAAAAAAGCCACTGACTAGTAATAGCTTCATTCATAGTCGCCTTGATGCATTGTAGCCCTTGAATCTATGAATAGCCATGAAGTTTGTCATGCAATCTACAAATATTTGGTTAATTAACTTTATCAATATTTGTATCAATGATTTATTTTTAATAATGTCGTACATACATATATCATAAAATACATACAAAGTATAATCATAATAATAATAATACATTAGCGAAAGAGAGGAGAAATGTCGAGAGCGTGGGCGAGCAACAATTTTCATTTATATTTTTGTTTTCTTCTCATAATTTTATGTACAGTGCGAGTTCGTGATAAGAAGAATTTAAATAATAAACCGATCGATAAGCTTGACGCACGAAGTAGAACTGCTACCAATGCGCATGTCAGAAATTTCAATGAAATAAAATAAAAACTTTTTCCTTCTACATTGAGCTTTCGGCTCTTTACAAAAAGCATTTCGATGCACCTACGTACAACATTGACGTTGGCAAAAATATTGCTGATATTCCAATTGTTCTCATCTTATTTCTGGTGGTTTATATACGAGTTGAAAGTGCATGGACTTGAGCAGCTCTTACATAAGCAGCGAGGAATTATGGGAAAAGTGCAGCTTTTAAATCTGTTTTCTGCAGAATTAATGCGTGGGTGTTAGATTTCTAGGGTGGGATTTATTAGTTTTATAAAGTTTATGGATGATATTTATAGAATACAACAAATCAGTAGTTGTAGCACGAGCATGCTTTAGTTTTTTTTCGTGTTGAAAGTTTTACAAACTTTTTCTTGTACGTCGATGATGATACAGCGCTTTTTGATAGCCTTGATAGCATTGGAATGTTTTGTTTCTGCTTTATTTAAAATTAAACAGTAATTTGCGTAGGGTGTGTGTTCTTATCATTTAGATATGAATCTTTTCTGACTTCAGTTCATATCTTCTTGTTGTTTTTCAAGTTCTTGACTTTATTGACTAATCAGACTAAGTTCATGTATTTGATCCAAGCCTTAATTTTAACTATGTTTTAAAATGGAAAATTCAAACTTTACAACAAAGATAGAGCCAGATTTATTGTCGATTGCTACACAGATGCATTTGTCTTCATATGTATCATTCCAAGACAATTTCATATTAATATAGCAATTTAAAGGAAGCAGGTTCAGGTGTCAATACAAATCCTTGTATTGTTATTTATCTCATTAATTCTTTATAGGCACTTTAATCACAATGTAATTAGACATAACCTTTCTAAATTTGCGACGCATCTTCAGCAAATTGAAAAGCATTCATTTCATAATTATTTCCAACAGAATTATTAATTATATTAATATTTTGTTTCACTTATGCAATAAATTCAATTAATATCCATGTAACTCACAGCTTAATTATTTTAAACATGATTTTATTATCATATGCTACTCATAGATAATTGTCTATACCAGCAAGGTTTTACAATGAAATTGGAATTATAATTTGACTAGCAAAGATAAACTTTGGATATGTAATTAATTTAAATGCTTATCATCACTTACACATCTATAATCATACATTGTATCAAACCAGACAATTACGCCTTTAAGGTTTTTAATAGAACACCGACTTCATACTTTAATGTAGTTATTAATTTCTTCGAACTTCATATCAATTTGACCTTTATTTAAATATTATTGGAACTAATAATTGATGTGGCCAGACATGGATGGATTTGAACATTATTTTGATATTTATTTATATCTACCTGCATGGAAATATTTTACCAGGTTTGTGGTAATTTCAATTTTAATTGTCACTGTACATTTACATCATCTGATTTTGATTGAATGAGGATTATTATTAGAATAGCGTGGGTTGATCTGTTAATGATTCACTTACGATTATTACTACAATTTGAAATTTATTAAGCGGAAGCTTTAAAGTAATTTGTTGTAGATATAAGACATGGTACAATTTTATAAAGAAGATGGTGGAAACTTGATTGCCTTGCAAAACTGTATCAATTTCTTAATATGAGACAATTTTCCCAGAAAGTCAAGCTTTATCTATCTGAGATTATCTAAGCTTTTCTTTACAATTTAGGATATCAATTTACGTCATAATAATACCCTAAAATTAACGAATGTTATGAGAAGCAAGGATTAGTTCTTTTTTTTCTCTGCAGAAAGGACATAAAGATGTTTTCATATCCTATATTATATCCACAACATTTTGTGTCATAAAACACAGGATTGTAATATGTCAAAATGACCTTTTACTGTGTCCACGCACAAATCACACACATTCCATTCGTTCCGGAACTTTCTCAATTATTAAATTACATAATATATTTTTGACGCTTCAAAGATATCCTTCACATTACTCTGAGACTCTTTCATCATAATAATATTATATTTTCCTCAACATTAAAGCATTGTACTTCATATTGTTTATACTCTACAAGTTGTTTGTTATTCATATTATTCCTAGTACGGTTGTTAACTTTAATAACATGTTGATATGTAATATGGAAATAAACAACAGCACGAAAACACTGCAACATGTCGCCTCTTATCACTTTTATTGGTAGGATATGAGGAATCGAAAACATAAATGCGGTAGTGATGATGATGATGAGATTGTTGTACATGTTTTTGCGGGATAATGAAATTTTGTGAATAATTAGTGTTATGTACTTGAACAAGTTCTGATATCATTTAAAGTTTGTAGACAAAATTTTTTCGATGATTGAATAATTATGCTGTATACTCTAAAATCATCAAATTTTGCTGTTTTTGATTTCGTCAAAAAAGTTTTCGTAAGAAATTTTCATTCTACGAAGAAGGCAAATTGACTTTTAGGTTGATCAATAAATTTCAGAGTTTGCTTTAGAAGTTGCTACTAGGTTAATGTTTTTTTATGTAAGTGAATTTCTAATGATGAATGACTTTATGTCCTAGTTTTAAGCAACTTTTTCTTGCAACTTTAAATTCATTTGCAAAACTTAAAAATGGGACTGGATCTTTGTCGGATGCTCATTCTGGATGGATCTTTTCACCATGTCAAATTAAGCCTAAATTGAGTTCTGGTAAAGATTTCTATTCAGATTCAAATCATCTCTTGAAATTACTAATGAATTTCAGAAACACATGCTATAAATAATCATTTTTAAGCCCTCAACTTTAATTCCTAAACCAAACCTCCAAGTGTAGGTCCTTCATCAGCATTCAATGTCCATTAAATTTCATTATCTTTCTTCGTATTCCTCCTTAACATCATCTTTCTTTTCCACCTCATTACTCATTTAAGTTTTGAATTGAAAGGAAGGAAACGTGATGATAAGATCCTAATATCAAGATTGAACGTCCTTAACGATGAGAATATATTAAATGTATTATGTGCTTTTGAATGATTATTGCGTAGGGTGAGAGCCATCATCATCAGACTCTTTCTACTTCTTTATTAATCATTTTTTTCTGGTATTTGCAGGATGCCAATGGCAAATTTAACTTATCGCACAAAGCACAGAATATGTCAATATCAGATCAATTTCTGTGAAATTGTACGCATTCCCTAAAGCCAATAACAGTGAGCAGATAGCGATGATATTCAAGTAAGAAGCAACAAAACAGTTTTAAGTATTTAAGTATGACGTTAATGAGACAACAATTGAGATTTAAAGTGATTCTTTGTCAAATATTGGGACTATTTACGTGAAACTCTATTGAGTCTATGAATTTGACGTCAAGTTCAATAAGTAACAATTGTGATGATGAAACATGCTATATATCTAAAAGGTCATGGAAACGTATATTCAACAAGTGCTCTAAAATAGAAATTCATAGCTTTATTTCGTGAGTATTCTTCTTTTTGAACAATGTGAATTGGTAATTACACTTTTCATTGGTTTCCTAATTGAACAGGTAAAATGTGGGATGTCTGATATTTTCATTGTTCAACCTTTGCTTTCCTGTTTCAACCACATTTTTGCAATTAATTAAGTGCAGGTAATTATTGCGTGTTCATTGTTATGGTTCAATTATTTCATAAAAACTTTTTAATTGGATTCATCAGTAATTTTGGAATGTTTCTTTGGATATTTAATGAAATTCGAATTTTTGCACGTCTATAATAATGAGAAAGCTTGAGAAATTATGCATGATTACATCAAAACTCAAATTCAACTTTTTAAAGAAGTTTTTGTGAAATTCCTGAAATCTAGTGATTTGTCAAACTTATATCATCTTATGAATCACATTCAGAATGAACTACCTTGACTCGTCAGTGGTCAGGAAAACAAAATAATACTTTTTTTTGAGGTTAACAAATCAAGAAATCATAATTCAAAGAAAAACATTTTGCAATTCATAAACGAACTGATTTGATAGTTGATATTCAATCATTGTAACAGAAGCCTTTATTCCATTATTTACTCACTTTTCATCTTCTTCTCTTTCATTTTCATGTCCTTAAAAAGTCACAATCAATTTGTTCTGAAATAATAAACAAGTCGAATAATATTACTTGATATTTATTCCTATCCTTTTGGCATTTTTAATTTCCTTCGACTCGTCAACTTTTTCTTCTTTTTATTTTATGATGGGTACGTTCAATCTCCTTTCCTTACAAGCTGATTGAATTTCCTCATATTTTTTTTAAACCTTGTAGAGTGAAATATCAGCGAGCTGTAATTTAATAATGAAAAAGGCAGAGGTAAAGAGAATATTTATAAATGTTTAACGGATATTTAGCTGCTGCTGCTAATGCTTTATTGGAAGAAATTTAGAAGCTGAAGCCTTACAAGAGATTTTAGGTTTCATTATTTTTTTGAAATTTTCAAGTGACTTTTTACTGCTTTTTACTTTTTAAAGATTTGAATGTTTAAAGTCATAATTTAGGTGTAGTCGTATACCTAGAAACAGGATTCAAAGACATTTGACTTGAATATTGAAATTCAATATTGAATGTTTTCAAGAAACCTGAAAAGTCAACAATTTAATGAATTCGAGAACCATTACCTTTAACTCAGTTCCCAGAAACATTATTCATAATGAGTGTTTCTGCTTAAAAATCTCAATTATCTCGATAAAAATGCTCAAATTTCCATAATTTGCTCAAAATTTGCTGTAATCAAATATTTATGAGGAAAATTCTCCAATTTTCTGTATCCTTCTGTAATAAAAATTCAAAACCTAATAGAAAAGCTTGCAGATGTCTTCAAAATGAGTAATAATAAGGAACACAAAAAAAATTTGCTTTCGTTTAAGTAAATATTTATTTTCAATCAGTACATAATGCTGCTTTTTTCTTCCAAAAAACGGAATTAAAGAAAGTTTCTACTGCGAAATAAAAAAAAAATATCATGCCTTGTAATCTATTGGTTTATATCATTTGGTCATAGTGCATTGTGTAAATTTATTCTTGTTTTTTTCATCTATAATTTGATGCTATTGTAATTATAGTAAAAATAGTCACTTTACATTGAATGTGTATTGTGTTGACATTATTAAATAATTTAATTACCTATAAATAATTAGAGTGAGTTCATTCTATTTTGACATTTGTTCAGATTTAATTATATTGCGGGGAGGGTGAATTTAATTTAGAATGTTGAAAACTATGTTGTGGATAGCACATTTGGTGTTAGAGTAACGAAAGATTTTGACTTTAGTTTGAACAATTTTCGAAAGTTTTAAAGTCTATTAATCTGTTCTGATTTCAAATCTCGCCCAAGAAAGCTCATTTTGAATAGAATAACTTAATCTCTTGTCATTAAATCAATATTTCCTTTTAATTCCCTGAATAATCCAAAGATTTATTTGAGTCTTAGTTGACAAATGGAATCTCATCAATTCAGATTAAAATTTCTGTGTCACATGGGTTTTCACTCTTGATTATGTTTACATCTATTGTGCTTTTATAAATGAGAGGAAGAAAAGTTTTACATTTCCTTCATATTTCTTTGTATACGGACAAACGTGATTATTACTGGAATGTTTTTCATTGCATATTTTCATGTGATGTGGATGTGATGTCTATTCAACTTTTGTTTTAAATAATTTGAATTTCCATTTTTATAAATGAGGACAATTGTGTTACGTATAAAGAATGAATTCACATTTTTGCTTAATATTTGGAGTGTTTATGTGCTATGGAGACGTAAAAGCTTTATTTTTTAATGGAAAATAGCTTAAAGAACATTCAATTTTTTTTCTTAGAAAAAAAATACTGCAGGGAGAAGCTCAACAAAAAGTTATAGCAATTAGATTTGAGACATCCAGAGGGGATGCAAAAGAACTACTTCCTTTGATTATAAATTTATTTCTCTTATATAAAAACTTGATTTTATTCCTGATCATTTTTGATTCTTTTTTCTTTTAATTGCATTTTAATATTTTGTTAGAAACATGTTTTTGACTTAATAAATCTATTTTTTTTTCATTATATACCTTTGGATTCATAAACAGACGCTTAATATTATTATTCATTGATGACGATGCTTTGAATTGATAGATTTGAATCTTATGGAAATTGGAAAGTGAACCAGTTTCTAGTTAGAATTGCAATCTACAGAACGGAAACTGTTCAAGGACAAACTTTTATTCTATAAAATATCCCTCATCCATTTCCCAGAACCAATTCTATCTACTCAAAGCATCATAATCAATAGAACATCGTTTCTCAAATTTAATTTACGCATTCTATTCACCAATTTATATTCGTTTCATATTCAGTCCTTGTTATCTGGGCACATTCGTTATATCTCAATTCAAAATTAACATCAATACTCAGAATTTTTTCATAAAAACGTGAAAATGAAAAGTTGCTTGTTAATAAATTAAATTATGAGATTTTATTCTTAGCTTTTGCACTTTTATTCTTCGTATTCGATAAATTGAGACTTGCTGGATGAAAGTTTAGTGAATCTGATTGGTTTGAGATTCTCAATTGAAGGTTTTGAACCAATCAACTTAAGAGAGTTAAAAAAGACGATTCCAGTCCAGAAATCTCAACCACATAATCTCAAAGCTGTAGCTTAATTTTTTTCATTCATTTCATTATCAAAAATAATTATTTTCATAATCTTTTCTCTTTGCATTTCTCGTCTGCAAAAATATCATTAAAAATCGATACATTTCGACCAAGACCGGTCACGTTATTAACACTTCTTTATCTGTACATAATAAAATATTAATTTCCTTCATATCATTACATACTATTTAATTAAATATTTGGTATATTGGAAAGAGAAATAATAATATTAATAATAATAATAAATTAATGCTTAATTATATTAATTAAAAATACAGTGTCGAATAGAAAAAAATATTGAAATATCTTTAGACTTTTCACTCAATTTGATGAGACTTTCTTAAATACGAAATTTCTCTCGTGATTCCACACGAGTTGATAAGAGAGATCCTCTAAATATTTGATTAATTCACTCGCATAGAGTGGATAGTCAATTTTATGTGAGAAATGGACGAGATGAATGCTTATCACCTCGATTGATATTCTATCCCAAGGTACTAGAAATAGAAATCAAAAAGGAAATTGTAATTAGATAAAAAGCAACCAAATGTGTAAAATTATGATTAAAGCTCTAACTGAAGTTCACTTTGTCTGTCGTTTGATGGACTTGGAAGTGATCTAGCTTCATATAGAACCCCAAAAAATCCAACATCTATCAAAATGCGCTTCATTCAATAAAATCAATTCAAAAAAGTCAAACTTACTCGTTTGAAGGATTTCCAGTTCCTGTCCCTGACATCCTAAACTCAATAAATCAAGTTGTGTTCGATTTAATGCCAATAAGATGGTATACAGTGGAAAGCATTTAATTCTCTCTGGTTCATCATTCATCGTTTCCACTTTTACCTCACTTTCTGTTTCCTCATAATGAAGAGTCACCTATTAATCAAAAAATAAAATTTCTTAGTCCAATTTAAAATTTGTAGGATATAAATTACAAATCATTTTACCTCCTTTGGATATTTCTGAGGTGATAGTGAAGCATGAATAATTTTAGTTTCGTCTCGTTTCGCATAAAGTTTTCTAAGTTGAAAATATTTCAATGGATCTGGTTCGACAATACATCCGCCCCATTGGAGACTCTCGGTGAGCCAAGGTGCTGGAATCATTTTACCGTTTGTACCCGTAAGCGATTGGAAGTAATAGCCTGACTTTTTATTTCCAAATAAATCTTTGCCAATGAATTTAGACATTATTGACGCTAGATCGCTGCTACTGTTGAAGTTGAATTGATCCATAGGTCTGCAAATTGAATTAGAATTTGATGTTATTAAAAATGTTTTAATAGGCTTTAAAAGGATGCCACTAAAGAATAGCAACTTAAATTTCAATAAAATCATTAAAAATATAACTTACAATTTAGGAAGATTTAACATCGGGTACTTCTTCATCAGCACTTCCCTCACGAACCAAACAAGCTCGCCATTGTCTTGAGGTGTATTTACCATGTCATAATCTTGCGTTAAATTTTGTCTAATAAATTGTTGATGTCGATATTCAGCTGCAAAGAAACAATAGCAAAAAAAGAAGAATTTTTTAATGTTTTGTCATGAAATGAAGCTTATTAAAAAACGGAATAAAAAGTAGAAAGCTGTTGTGGAGGTCAATTCAATCTAAACAAATTGATGCCAAACAAACTAATTGAAGAAATCGCTTCAAATTTCATCCATAAATCATGCGGAGATATTAAAATAATTTTTTTTTCAAAGGGAGTATCCAGAATAAATAAAAATTGAGGTCGCACATGTGTTCATTCATCCCTTTGTCTATTATTCTATTTCTTTCATAATCAATATGTGTACATTATAACAAATAAAGATGAAATAGGTAGGAAAAATAAATTTGTTGTTAATAAATTCATTGTAATACAATCGGATGTGACAGAATGTAGATGAAGAATAAGAAGAATAAGACAATAGAGGTAAGGAATAAAATGAAATTTCCATAATTCCTCCTTCTAATAAACCATTCATATTTTTTCAATTCTGCCATTTCCTTCTATATATTATTTATTTACTTTAATAATAATACAAATGACGTTGATGATGAAGATGATGTCGTTGATGCCAGCTGAGAACTAATGATGAAGTAAGTTGGAAAGTTATCGTAGGTGGATTTTAACAGCGTAGTGCTACTATGAATCATCATAAATTATAATAATATTTAAAAGTATTGTGGCAGATGGAACGGTTTTTTGAGATTTGGAATGTCAGGAATAATATACATGGGAATGGCATCTAGAAACGTAAGAGTTAATGATCTAGGTTCCGTTAGTCTGACAGAAATGCTTATCCAAAAAAGCTGAGTGCTATTGAAAGCTAAAGCTGTACTCAGGTTCCAATAAGTCCACTAATCATACTGTGTAGACATCCAGTATGTCGAAGGTAATAAAATAATCCAATATTCTTATTTGAAAATTATGCTAAAGAACTTCAAGCAAATATTGTCTAACATTGATTTAACAAAGACAGAGAGAAGCTTAAACTCATCAAAGAATACTCTTTTCATGCACAATTGTCATAACAACGATGACATTGGAAATTGCTGTCATTTGATGCTTACAAAGTTCAGAGAATGGAATAATTTTCATATAAGTAGGAATCATGAATGAGTACGAAGAAAAATTGATTGAAATTTAGTACAATTAGATTCAAACATGACTTAATCTTTATGCTAGTCGTCATGACATAGCTCTACGTCAAAAATCTTGACGAACAAAATATCACACTGGCATTTTATATTTTCCTGCTAAGCATAATTTCATACACTTTTTTCTCTTTTGATTATACACAGATTCATAATTTTGCTGCGATAAATTTCGGTCTTAGTGAAGAATTTTCTTTTGATTACAGCACGGCATGATTTTTGCTCGTTGGTATGTTAATTTGTTTTGATATTAGAGTTTGAGCAAAAAAAAAAATTATTCTTTGGGAAATAGGCGCCGTATGGTTCCGCTCTAGTTTCACGGATTTATGAAAATATTTTATTATGATGAGTTTAGACGTTAAAGATGAGATTTAGGTATTCTAGTTCAATAAAGCGATTCAAAATTTATTTGTTAACAGATATCATTAATGAATGAACCCTGAGTGTAAACAATAATTCCAATAATCCACCAAAAAGTTATTTGCCTTTAATAGTCATTTCAAAAGAAATTTATATCACGATAACTTTAATCTTATCAATAGTTTGTTAATAGTTCCTTCCCTTCCTCGCCTTTCATTTCTCTTTTATGGCTCACAAAGGTGCGTTCCCCCAGCAATATCAACAAATGTCATATTAATTAACATCGATAATGCTTATCAAGTATCCGACACGTAACTTACTCAATAAAGTACATATTGTTGACTCTTTTTTTTGCGGTTATAAACTTTACACCAATTTACGAATTTTTTATTTGTTAAACCCAAACTTCTTCAGCCTTATATTGGCCGTAATCAGCCATTCACACCCATTTGACATGTAATAGCTTTTTTGGAGTATTTAAATTGAAATGAGGGAAGAAGAAGTAAAAGAAGCCATAAGAAGGTGCGTACATACCACATGCATGTAGACGTAATCTTAATTGGATTGACATTCAACAAAAAAATTGTTTTTATTATTAAAAATCACTTAACCGCTTTACTTCATCCGGTCTTTCATTTCATTTCCGATTTGCTCTCAATTCTCTTTTATTTTAATTTCAGTTCAAGATGGAAGTATAAAGCCTTTTGAGGATGTTGTGGTTAACACGCATATTTAGTTTAGGGGTAGGATAAACTAAGATCATTCACTATATTTGAGACTTGAAGATCATCTTTATAATCCAATTTACTATCAAACTGATCAGTCACAAACCAAAATGAACCAAAATTTCCGCTTGTTTCGCAAATATCATTTGTAGAAAATAAAAGCAGATTCCAAACAGCATGCAAAGAAAAAGAACAAGAACAAGACACGCAAATCAGTACCATCATCATCATAATAACGGAAGGAAATTAGTTAAAGTATATAAAAAGAGAGAATGAGAGGAAAAAGATCTTAAAGTGTAACAGCAATTGTTCTTCATGACGATATGTGTATTATTATTACAATGGGAAATGGAAATTACTTTTGGGATTTCTCTACTTCTTCCGTTTTCTGTGTCTCTCTCGTTTGCCGTCTTCTTTCTGCCTCTTAAGACGCTATTTAAAGCGTTAAATCGACACAATTAATGAAAAGAGAGGTGAAAAATTTCTACTAAAATTTTTTATAACTTTAATCGCTTTTTATAACAAATAAAAAAGCCGCAAAAATATATCTCTTGGATATTTTTTATTTGGAATTAAAGAGCTGATGATGATAGGGGGTAAATTGCTTTAATCGGTTTAAAAACTTGTTAAATAGCGTAAATCATGCGATTCTTAAGATGGTTGGAAATTAATTTTGTGGGTTTTATGTAGATTGAGTAAGTTTAGGATTATGATTTTTTTTTGGGAAGTTCTTGAATTGTGATGTGATTGAATTCAGACCAAGTAAACATTATGTAATCTTTTTGTCAGAAAAAAATGCAAAGCTTTATTATGGAGTGTAATTCTGAATTCAACAATGCACAACAATGAGGTTCGAATCTCACAAATTAAAATTATAATGTATTTAAAATATCTTTTTTACACTTTTTGAAATTTTTTGAACTACTCAGCCCCCTCAAAAGCAGCGAAAAAACTATTTTATTCCCTCAATGATTGAATAAGAATAAAAGTTATTAATTATTTCACATTTTAGATATTTTCAATAAAATCATTCATACAACCACATGAAAAAAAAATGCTCAAATAATAATAATAATGGAATTAAATAAATTTAGTACCGCAAAGTAACATACAAAAACCACTAAATTATTATTATACTTGTTTTTATGACTTTAAGTAAGAGAACTGAAGATGGAATGAGAGAAAAAAGATTAATTGTATAATTCCTTTATAATGTATTAATGTGCTAAAACGAAGCAGAAAGTGTGATAGAGGAAACTCCCCATTTTTTAATTGAGAAAAGCAGTTTTGTCTGTTAATAATAAAGAGTTACAATTAATTTTCTTCAATCTATCTTATCATAATTAATAAATATCTACAAAGGCATTCATTTCATAATACTTAATTAATTTATGTGAAATAAGAGATCTTAACAATGTTGATAAAATAAATAAAGAATGTCAATCTCCATTAAAGTTGATTATTCGCGAAAAAAAAGTGAGTAATTTATGGGAAGGTCATTAACTTTAAATAATTATTGTGATGATATTTTAAGGTCTGTTTTCAGCGAAAGAATAAAGCTTCTTTAAGTAGGTGCCAAAAGACTCTTTGTCTGCTGTTGTATTTATGTGTGAACGAATGTAATTTCCGATTTTTAAATTGTGAGAATTTTTGCTTCGTTTACTTGTCAAAATATATAAAAAATTAAATTTGGAAGATCTGGACCCTAATCCACATTTTAAGACTCCATTACATTTGCCAACAATTTCCTTAATTTTCACTCAATTTAAATTTGCACGAGATTCACTTGACGATTAATTAAGAAATTCAAGAATTGAAAGTTTCTCCACACAACTTTTAATGAGTTCGTCTTTTTCATTAATTTTCTCCGTCCATGAAATTAAATTGTATGAAAAATTATTTAATGCTATAAAATAATCATCACAACAACACAGTTAATTCACAGCTTTTCAGTTGTGTACAGTAAATGTAATAAAAATAAGAGTCTATAAGAAAAATAACAAGAGAGAATTAATCGTTCATTTCCGATGTGTCCAGAGCGATACAAATTGACACACAAATAAAATTATTTGTATTCCCTCCCTGGGCTGGATCATTCTTCTCTCATCATATTATGAAAATTTCTTTTCAACTTATTGTGCGAAGAATAAAAAGCAAAATTCAAAGAGAACCTTTTAAAAGTTTATGTATAAGCAGCAACTACAGCATCAACACATCAATTCATTTTAATAATAAACTTCCTTTTTATAAAATGCTTTATGTAGCAGCCCCACACATACAAGAACTCTTTTTTTAATGTCAATTTTTTTTGCTAATTGAATTGGGCGTATAAATTCACTTCCTCTTAATGAATCCCTTTATAAGCATAAATTACATATTCTTATGTAAAGTTCATGACCTCAATAGCGTAGAAGAGCACTCACATGCGTACAATTAATCATGAAGGATTTTAGACAAAAGCTGTAGTTTCTAGTACAATCATTTCCTGAAGCAAATAAGGGATTAAAAGAAAATAATGAAAGACAATATGTTTTGAAATCATTGAGGCTGCAAAACAAAGAATGTGCGTAAAGGAAAATAAAAGAAAATAAATACCGTAAAAGTTTTCTCTTTGAGCGCATGAATTTTTTAAAATGATTGGAATTGAAATCTGCATTTTGGGCAAGAGATTTAATTTGATATTTTGACTTCCAAACAAAATTTCAGATTTTGCTGACATTCATTACTGTAGTGAGTAATGATTGCAGAGATAATCTTTACAATAGGTAATAAGTGTTGGTTCATATCCTATGGTTAAATATTTTATCAAAATGCGTTCCATTTCCACATTTATAGACAATTTTGATAATTATTCATGCAGCTCTTTATCATCATAAACCGAGTGTGTATTTTTAATAAGCAAAAGAATAAGAAATAAAACTTTAAATTACAATTACACAAAGGAATTCTAAAGAAGAATCTTATAGCAGTACAATTAGAATAAAGAACTGAATGGGTAATTGCACAACTTGCATTCAAATTTTTCTCTTTTATATTTCTTTTTTTTCCGTTAAACATTTTCACTATTCAACAACTTCCAACAAAAAAGAACCTTTAAAGAATAATAAGAAGTAGAATGAAGAAAGAATGGAAAAATTCAATTAAGTCATTTGAGTAATAATAAAAAGAATTGAAAGGCAGTGAAATTGAATAAGCAGTAAAACAAATAAGGAGATTTTTGTGCTCTTTCTTATTCCTCAAAATTGAATGAGTAACACGCAACGACGTAGTAAGCAGCTAGACAAAAAGAATAAGTAAAGGATGTGATACTTTTATTAAGATGAAGGCATGTATCATACACATGTCAGATTGTGTTTTAAGGCGACACCACAAAGTCATTTACATGTTTGGGTATCTGGAATCTACAGACAAATCTCATTTTCTAATTGACGTCATTAATGAATGATTCCCTAAAAGGAAATAAATGGACATGTCTGGGTTGCAACTACTGCGTATTTTGAATACAAAACAAATGTGAATCCTTTGTTGTGACTTTAATGGAATCGTGATTTGTCCATTAAGTGCCACATCCATTTTGTGATATTCTCTCGTAAATGGAATGCAATTATCAGTAGGTAATGTACAGTTTGAGAGTTAACTTAAAGATCGTTCACTTATGACGTCCCTTTTCCCAACTGGACAGAAATATGAAAAGTATGAGGGGATCAGGAGCTTTGTGCCAGTGCAGTGCTGGTTAGCATTTAGATAAACTTAATTTATGAACGATCCAATCAGTGTAAATTGAATTTAAATTGATAGTAAACGATGCACCAAGCATTCTCATAGAAAATTATTACTGAAATGTACACGATTTATGAACAAATATCGAAAGTAATTTTCATAAATCAGAAATTCAATACCAATTTATAACAATGAATTTTACAGTTCTGTTAATAAGAAAATTTATGTATAAAAAGTTATTTGTGAATAGTTCAAGTTTCTTGCCCTTACTTAAATGAAATAAACCTTGTAAAAAGCTGATAATGAAGAATAAAAAAAGAAACAAATTTTTTTAAAAAAAAAAGCAACGAAAAGAAATTGAAAGAATCTAAAAAAGATTTAAGTGGAGAAATAAAGAAAAAAAAGAGACATGTAAACAAACATCTTATGATTCATTGCAGCTGGTCATTCATAAGATAAACATTTAAGAAGAAAAATGAAAATTGTAAGATATTCTTTATTCCTTCTACATGTTCTCACTAGCTCACTCTTTTTTTTGTTGAATCATTCAAATGCGAAGGCGTTTTTATGTTGTTTTTATGCTCCATTGAATTATTATCGTGGGTGTCTCTTTTTTCTTTAATTTAAGAATAAAAAAAAATTGTGATTCTATCGCGTCTACTACAACAACCTACGACCTGTGAACTTCATTTCTGTATTAAGTTCCATTAAATTATGTTCCTTATACTTATAAAGTTATAAATTTGTTGGAATTTATTCTAAAACAAAGTTGTTGAATACTTTATAGTATGTTGTCTGATTAGGCACATAAAAACCACACTAATGAGCAATTTTCATGAATAGCTACATGCGGTATGGAGTTATGGAAAGTGAAGCTTTCAACATTAATTGAACTCATCTTCTTCATTATGGTTATTATTTTCTGACCAATAAATAGGCGCCATTTCAGGTCTATGTCCAAAACATGGAAATGTAGATGACTCAAATCATCATTACTAGGTTTATCAATTACTTTTAATGTTGAAAATAAGGAATTGGAATTATTGGAAAAGTTTCAAAGATAAAATGAGTTCAAATCTCAATAAATATAAATACACAAAGTTAATATTTGATCACATAAGAATCCTGCTCTTATGAGAATCAGTACAAGTGCAACTAAAATCAACAGTATCAATGAATGAAAATTGAATCGAAATCTACCAAAAATAATAATGATTCAAAGAAATACTCACTTGAGGGATCCATATATAATATCAGTAGACTTAAAACTGTTGCAAATGTGACCAGAAATAAAATTATTGGAAATAATTGACATAATCTCGATTTCGTAGGCTTCTCCAAGTCACTCTCGATATTACTTCTCATCTTATTATCAATTTTAACTTGTTGTGGTTTAATAGCATCTTTTGGCGCTTCAATTTTGATAACAATCGGTGATGTTTGAATATTTTTACTGTTTGTGTCAATAACTGCTGCCGCTTTAAGTTCTTTTGTTGCTGCAACAGTCTCATTGGACTTGTTGTCTTTCTCCATTTTTCTATTCCTCTTCTTGCTGCTTTTTATTGTATTTTTCTTGTTAGTAATCTGTAAAGAAAAGAAGGAAAGAAATTTATTTAGAAAAGAATGAATATGAGGCAATTTGTATGATATACATGCTAGATAATCTCTCTATAGATATGGACCTAGAGGAGCTCTAAAATCTCTATACAAATATTATAAATTTCGAATAACAATGCCCGTGTATTTTATATTAGAATGAATAGGACTCTTTTTTGAAATGAAAATTCTACCGAAAGATTGAGTTACAATGCAAATAAATGTGCTGTACAACATAGCATAAAACCACCTGCTGTATGTTGCAGACTGTAAATTCTTTTGCTTTCTTTTTTTTTCAAACAATTCTCGTTTCAGGATACTGTAAAAATGTGTTTTTTCGATGCTGATCCATCATTTTTTTTTCTTTCATTCTTCTTCTTTTCCTCGTTTAACATTTGTGCATCATCATATTACATTGACAAGAGTGGCACATCGTATCACATACAAAAAAATTTGAAGAGACTGAAGTTGAAATTAAGAGCAAACACACGGTGTGCTGCTGAAAATATGTGTATTTGAATGTAAACATAACAGCTGTATTATATCATTTTTTTTGTTTCTTATTCCGTATGGAAAACGCATAAAAATGAAATTTCATTGTTATTATGGCTCACTGTCATCATCAAGAACAGTGCTCTTCATTCTCATTCTCGCCTACCTTCAATATTGACGATGAAATGAACGAAAAATTATTGAAAAAAAAATTTTTTTTTTGTTATTTTTTTTCTCCGCACGAAAAGTTAAAAAAAATAATTAAGAGAGATGAAAATAATGTTTAAACGCCTCCATAGTGAGGTTGTTTAAGGCTGAAAAATGTTTACTTTATAAAAAACTTCTGCGAGAAAATTTTTCATTCATTCTATTGATTTCATTCACAACTTTATCTTAATTCAATTTGCGTCTTATTCTTAAAAAACAAGATAAATTTAAAATTTTGTGCTTAAAATCTAAGATTGTTCCTTTTAAGCTAAGTTTTGGACATCACTATGTAATAACTCTTCTATCGTTATCAAGCATGCTTTAGAATTGCTTTTCGCCTAGAGCGTAACTTGCTTAAAGCGTCAATAAAAGGTCAAAGTGGATTTCTCGTCTTATTCGATCAATGGATGGATTTAGAGAGCGTTGGATGAGACATTAATTTGTAAGCAATTCAATTTCGAACGGTTATCTTCAATTCGTGATATCTTTTGAAAGATGAATTTTTGGGGATTGAACAGTAATGACGTCTTTCATTCCAACAGTTGAAAATATTCCACAATAAAATTCTTCAACCCACAAAAAGTAATTTTAACGCGTGCTAGATTTTTTATGTTCATTTTATGTACTATAAACTAAAATGAATTTAGTTCCAATAACAGAGTATCAAGAGTATTTCAATTTGAAATTTTTAATGAATATTGAATTCTTATGTGCATCGTCTTAGAAAATTCAATTAAAGCAGTTCCAAAAATGCATGAAATTAAAATTAACGTAAAAATATAAATTTATTTTCGAAGAACTTTTATGGACATTCAAAATTTTTTAAATACAAGAATTAAATATTCTAGACGGCACGTACGTAATAAAGCATTAATGGCTACTAGTCTTTTAATTTCAATATATTCCGGTAGAAATAAATTTTTATGATCTTGATAAAATAAATAAAAATACAAATTAGTCTTTCTTATCCTCCATTATTCAATTTTCCCATAAAATAATCTTCGAGTCTGCTGTAATTCTCACACAAAAAAATTATTTATGATCCTCAAGCTTCCAATGAAATAGAAATGAAACGAACAGGATAAAAAGGAATGAGAAGAAAAAGGATTAAAATTTCAAATTAGGATTTAAGTTAATTAGTTCTATCCATACATTTATTTCCTTCTTCTATCTCTGAGAAAGACATGAATAATATGCAGTAAAATCTACCCAAAAAAGAGCGGTAAGCGAACTATAGTTCTTCTTCCTTTACTACTTAAATAATACATGTGTATAGCATTTAAAAAGCTAAGTATTATAGATGAACATAAATAATGAGCAGATAAGGATGTTCAGTTTGTCTAATCTTGAAGATTAAGTGATTATTAAAATCCTGTTTAATATGCAGGAATAGGAATTGTTATTTAACTGTTCATTTAAATGCCAAAAATTTTATTTGATTCATACGAAAAAAAAACGGACAAAAATGAATTATAATAATTCTCACAATTGTCATAAGTTCGAATCTTAACTTAAATAACTATAACTTTTGCTTTTTTTTTCTAAGATGTTTTATAATTTTTTTCGTTCAAATAGGAAATCATCCATTGAATCTTGCCTCCAAGCCATTCGAAACTCAAAAAATCTTTTTTTCTTTCCTTTCCATTAGCCATCATTAGACGCGTAGACACTCATAATGAGTTAAAGTTGAAAAGGAAATGATGCACTTTCGTTTTTTTCCTACTCATAGACATATTCACATCATAAACATTAAGAGATCATAAATCACCAATTCTAACTGAGAACAAAACACCAATTCCGATGATGGTGTAGACAGAATAAAAGTGCCATCCGACATGCCTCGTCTCATCTATGAGCTATTAAATATATTCTTATACATCCTTCTGTTTGTCATTAAGTTCTAAAAAATATATTTTTTTGTGCGTGTCTCAATTACTATGATGTATAGTTGAAGACACTAATCAAGGATTGAGAAGAAGAAATGAATTTTCCCATGTAAAACATAAAACGGATGACGTTTTTGGCTCATTGAAGCCCTATTGATTTTAAAGAGAAAACAAAATATTCAGAATATTCAAAATATGTGGTAAAAGTCATTAAGTGAGCTCTCAAAACTGTAATCGATCACTCTCTTTGTAATTGAAGCCTTATCATCGCCGAAAGGGCAGTTTTAAAGAGTCATGTGAAAAAATTACACCAAATTAAATTGATATTCTCGCAAAAAAATAAAAACGGGACAATTTAATGAATAATTAGACTTTAAGGCTACTTCCTTTCAGGTTAATTTTCAGTTTCTCATATTATTTTTAAGAAGAAAAAGTTTCAAGTCATGAGAAGATTTGACGTTTTCGATTTACAAGCAGTCAATACATGTTGTCATGACAAATGGAAGGAAAAATTCTTTTGTGAAATTAAAAAAAAGAAGAGAATTGAAAAAAAATGTTTGATTCTGTAGCGTCACAAAGTTCTTTTTTTACAGAACATTCCACATATTCACTTCCGTTACAGATTTTTTTTTCCTTAAAACGTTGAAAAATTTGTCTTTTGTGTCATTTGTTAAATTAATTTTCTTCTTTTTAAGACGATGATGAAGAAAAAATGCAAGTGGAATGGTGATTATTGGGAGATATTTGGTGCTGGTCAAGGCGCATAAATAATAAATAAATATTGTTAATTTTTGGAGTTTGGACGTAATGATGAGATTGTCTAATCTTCAAGGATTCGAAATATAAGCCAAAAAACTTGATAATTGCTTAACAAAAGTCCTCAACTGCTTAACACTTTCAGCCAAACTGAGAAACCCTTCAATTCAGTACCGAAAAATCATGCTAAAAAGAAACCGTTCCATTCAATAACAACAAACAGTTTAATGTGATCTGCAACGGTTCCGTAAAAGAATGTTTCATCCATTGTCGTCACATAATATTGGTTATAATAATATTTAGGTAGGCAAAAAAAGAGATGAGAATGAAACAAGATATAATAAAAATTACACAAAATGCTTTTTTAAAGATTGTGCAAATCGATTATCTTATTTTTTAGGAGGAAGATTCATTTTAGTTTCATAAATATGTAATTATCACCGCGGGCTCTTTCAGAAGATTCTTATTCTTTTCTTATTAAACCAAAAAAAAAAGAAGAGAACAAAAATATCTAAGGGATTTCAAAATTCTCGGTAGTCTACGACCTACATCATCATCATCATGAGCATGATCAACGCATGTGAAGTGAAACACCTTATTCGAAGAATGAGATTCACAGAGATACCCAAAAAAAGAAATATTTTCGGCAATCTACAAAAAAACAGCAACAACAAAAAGTGCACAAATTTTTTTTATTCTTCCTAAAAAAGGAGAGACAGACACATAAAAGTGCAGCAAAGCATGAGTCACACACCATGAAGTCAATTTTTTTTTGTTTTGTTTTTCCTTCAAACAATAAAATGCTTTTGATCCATTAACCAAGAAAAGAAGTGCGATGATGCACACACAAAAAGAGGAATCACAGTCAAGAAGACACAAGCGACAATGCAATGACTGACTTTTTTTTTCATTGAGTGCTGAAAATTATTTATTCTCTTTTTTTCTCACTTTGCTTCAGTACTTTTTGGGTCTTGTTGCTGTTTTTGCTTAAAGACGAAAGAAATTCTAAAATTAAAAAAAAATGTGCAGTTCGCTCGTTTGCACCATTTTTAGGCAATCATCAAATGAATTTTTCTTAGTTCTTTCTTTGCTCAATTCTTCACGGTCCGGAGATGTAAATTGCTCTTCTTTTCGCTTTGATTTCTCATCTCGTTAAAATTTATTTGAAAATTAAAAATTCATGCAAAATTTTGAGCATCTTTTGGACTTACTTTTCGTCAGATTGTCTTTAAACAATTAATTTTAAATGCTTTAAAAACATGTTATATCTCAGAAATTGTCGTTGCTAGACGTTTAGAAACTATGATTGACCTTATGTTTCAAGTCATTGAAAATCAAAGTTCGAAACAAAATTAAATTTAATTTGATCATTGATTCAGAATCTCAATGGAAAATGTATTATGTTACAGATTTGGTACAACTCATGAATATTTGAAGTTCAGTCATTTGGTGATTTATGTGAACTAATTGCTAGACTTATCGGTAGATTGGAGAGATACTATTTCATACAATTTAGACCACCTTCTAGAATATTAAATTTTGAGGTTATATAGCACAATATTCAGAAAATCCACCACCTACTCTTACGAATAACTAGAATCAAGTAAGTTGATGTGAAACTTTACTCCCTATACAATTTTTTAATTT